GCGCTCCGAGGGCGGGGCTGTTCCGCACACCACGTCAAATGCGAGAGTGTTTTTTAGTCTGGGTCACTGAGGGCTAGAGGGTCACCTATATCTTTAAACACATTTAATTATAATTAATGTCTTACTTGGTTTTATATTCTTGAGTCAGTGTCTTACTCTGTCACCCAGGCCGGAGTGCAGTGGGGCGACCACAGCCTTCAGCTGCCAGGCTCAAGGGATCCGCCCGCCTCAGCCTCCCAAAATGCTGGGATTACGGGCGTGAGCCACCAGCCCCTAGCGACTTTTAAAGAGAAAACGTCACACGGTTGCCTGGGGGTGTTTTGGAGCGCGGTGCTCAGTGCTTCCCGATGAGGCCCCTGCCTTGGTTTTCAGACCTGGCTTCTTCCGGGAGCCACAAACCATTCCAGGCCAGGGCGTTTCCTGAGCGGCCCCGGATTCGTAGCGCGGGGTGACTCTGGGATGGGGGAGGGGGGTACGACGAGCGCGGGGAGGGCGCGGTGCGGCGGGAGGTGGGGGCTGGGTAGGCGTGTGGGGCCGCGCAGCTTTTGGGACCTGGTCAGCACCCTCTGCCAAAACCTAGGTCTTGCTTTTCCGACGTTCCCCTCCCCTCGAAGCTGCTCCTGCGGCTCCAATTTCATCTGCAAACCGATGTTGGTTTCTGGAACGTTTGCCTTGAGCAAGGCGTGCGTTGTCTTAGGTAATCCTCCTAGCAGCCTTTGACATAGAAGCTGTTTCTACACACACTGGCGCTCAGTGTGTTCATGCGGTAGAGCCTGGTTGGAATCGAAAGCATCTGTTTCCACTAGACGTTGAGGTTGTCAGATGGCCCTCCAGCCAGCAGCTGGGAGCTCGTTGGAAATGCCACTATGCGGTGTCTATCCCAGACCTGAATGGGAAACTCTGAGGACGGCGATGGGTGGGGCCCGACAAGCTGGGATGACTAGGCACACTGAAGACCCCTCCCTCACATCTTCCCAGGGCAAGGAAAGGGAGACTTGCCTTTATTGAGTGCTGATTCCATGCCAGGGTCTAGGTTAGGCATTTTGCATAATTCTTTGATATAATCCTCCCCACCACTCTTATTTAAAAATTTTTTTAATTATTATTTTTGAGACGGAGTCTAACTCTGTTGCCAGGCTGGAGTGCGATGGTTCAATCTTGGCTCACTGCAACCTCTGCCTTCCAGGTTCAAGCAATTCTCCTGCCTCAGCCTCCCGAGTAGCTGGGACTACAGGAACCTGCCCGGCTTATTTTTGTATTTTTAGTAGAGTTGGGGTTTCACCATGTTGGCCAGGATGGTCTCGACCTCCTGACCTCGTGAACCACCCACCTCGGCCTCCCAAAGTGCTGTGATTACAGGCGTAAACCACTGCGCTCTAGCGACCACTCCTTTATAGAAGAGGAAATTGTAGCTCCAACTTTCCATCAGTTTAGAGTGCCAATATTTATATGAAATCGTGTAAGATTATATGTGCCGTTTGCTTGCATGTGTGTATGCATAAAATACTTCTGGAAGGATATAAAGGTGTTATCATAGTTTGCCTTCCAGGGAGAGGAGGATATAGGTTGCTAGGGTGACTGAGTTGGGAATTTTTTGTTAAGATTTAGTAACTTAAGACTTTGGACCGTATGAATCTGTGATATAGCTGGCCTAGAGTTAGAACCTGTACAATGCCATTTTATAAAGAACAAAACTGTTTCCATTCTCTTCGCAATGACTGCTAACCTTGGCTTCTGTAAATTGCTAGATTATTTGCAGGATGCAAATTGAGGGAAAGCTGCATACCTCCTCTTATCTGTAAATGCCAGAATTGCTGGCCTTTGTTTACCAGAGTAAGCACCCCCAGATAATTCCATCTTGGCGCCAAGCAACTGAAAATCTATGGATCCCACCCCTACCCAGACGACGTGTAAACGAATGTTAATCTCAGCATCTGTGAACCCCTTAAATGACAATCAGAATGTCAAATAGTCCCCTGGCCCTCGAAATGTCCGGAACCCCCTCACCCTCATCTCCGCCCAGAACGTGATTTGAATCCACTGGCCCTCGGAATGTCTGAAGCCCCTCACCCCATCTTCTCCCCTCACCCCCAAGGTGATTTTACAGGTATAAAAGGTCTTGTCACCCTCTTTTACGGGGCCACGGGTTGGAGAGACGTGAGTCCTCCGTGGTTGCCAGCAATAAACCCTGCAATTTGGCATACTTTTGTCCTGGTGTTGACTTTCTGTGCTCGGTTCGATGCAACAAATCTATTACTTGCTGCAGGTAAAATTGAACAGTTGAAAAGTACTCTAAGGTTAGACATAGTGGCTCAAACCTGTCATTCCAGTTCTTGGAGAGGCTGAGGTTGGAGGATAGCTTGAGTTCAGAAGTTTGAGACAGGTCTGGGCAACATAGACCCTCTCTCCATCTCCATTTAAGAAATATACACTAAGTGCTGGGCAGGGTGGCTCATGCCTGTAATCTCAGCATTTTGGGAGGCCAAGGCGGGTGGATCACTTGAGGACAGGAGTTCGAGACCAGCCTGGCCAACATGGTGAAATCCCATTTCTACTAACTCTACATTAGCTGAGCATGGTGGCACGAGCCTGTAATCCCAGCTACCTGGGAGGCTGAGGCAGGAGAATCACTTAAACCCAGGAGGCAGAGATTGCAGTGAGCCAAGATCAGGCCACTGCACTACAGCCTGGGCAACAGAGTGAAACTCTGTCTCAAAATAAATAAATAAATAAATAAAGCTCTATATCTATAAACTTCAGGTGTTGTTATTAATAATGAAATATAAGCCTGTAATCCCAGCACTTTGGGAGGCCGAGGCGGGTGGATCACCAGGTCAAGAGATCGAGACCATCCTGGTCAACATGGTGAAACCCTGTCTCTACTAAAAACACAAAAAAATTAGCTGGGCATGGTGGTGCGTGCCTGTAATCCCAGCTACTCAGGAGGCTGAGGTGGGAGAATTGCTTGAACCCAGGAGGCAGAGGTTGCGGTGAGCCGAGATCGCGCCATTACACTCCAGACTGGGTAACAAGAGTGAAACTCCATCTCAAAAAAAAAAAAAAGAAATATTAGTTTATTTTTTAGGCCAGGCACTGTGGCTCATGGTTGTAATCCGAACACTTTGGGAGGCAAGGCAGGAGGATTGTTTGAGCTCAGGAGTTGGAGACCAGCCTGGGTACCCATTTTAGACCTTTGAACAGTGGCCGTGTCTAGTGGTCTCTGCATAGCACATGATGTATAAAGTTGTTCTCATTTTCATTACTAACAACAGCTACAAAATATAAAGTAGATCATAAATATACTATATATAAATATATATCCATAGTGCTTTTTATTTTTATGTGGAATCTAAATCTGGAATATGTGAAGAGCTTCTTGGGACCAAGTTGTCATTTATTCTGCCACTTTTTAAGGGGCATTGCAAAAGCAATTCAGGGCTATATGACTTTGGACATGTAACAACCTCTCAGCGCTTCAGTTTGCTCATTTATACAGCAAATTTTTTAAAAAGTGCTTGCCCCAGGCTGGGCTTGGTGGTTCACACTTGTAATCCCAGCACTTTGGGAGGCTGAAGGAGGTGGACTGCCTGAGTCTAGAAGTTCAAGACCAGCCTAAGCAACAAGGTGAAACACCCTTGCTACTAAAATTACAAAAAGTTATCTAGGCGTGGTGGTGCACACTTGAAATTCCAGCTACTCTGAAGGCGCTGAGGCAGGAGGATCTCTTGAGCCCAATGGTCGAGGCTGCAGTGAGCCCTGATGGTGCCACTGCACTCCAGACAAAGTGAGACCCATTCTTGATAAATAAATAAGTGAACAAATAAAGTACTTGCCTGTAGGCTTGTGGTGAGGTTGAACTGTGTCACAGTATATAACTTATTTGGAAGGTTGCTTGGCACAGTCTTTGTTAGATAAATAAATCAGGCCAGACACAGTGGCTCACGCCTGTAATCTCAGCACTTTGGGAGGCCGAGGCGGGCGGATCATGAGGTAAGGAGATTGAGACCTTCCTGGCCAACATGGTGAAACCCCGTCTCTACTAAAATACAAAATACTAGCCAGGTGTGGTATCGAGAGCCTGCAGTCCCACCTACTCGGGAGGCTGAGGCAAGGGGATCGCTTAAACCTGGGAGGCAGAAGTTGCAGTGAGCCGAGATCATGTCACTGCACTCCAGCCTGGATACAGAGTGAGACTCCGTCTCAAAAGAAAAAAAAAAGAGATGTAGAAATAAAAGTTTGATGGGAGTTCAGAGGAGATTTTTTTTTTTTTGATACAGAGTCTTACTCTGACTCCCAGGCTGGAGTGCAGTGGCATGATCTTGGCTTACTGCGACCTCTGCCTCCTGGGTTCAAACAATTCCACAGGAGAAACATTTTGTTTATTTTGTACCTAGAACCTCATTGCTAGATGAGATTATAAAGATCTGTGACTATTTTACACATTTGTTCTTTTTTTTTTTTTGAAGACAGAGTCTTGCTCTATCGCCCATGCTGGAGTGCAGTGGTATGATCTCAGCTCACTGCAACCTTTGCCTCCTGGGTTCAAGCGATTCTCCTGCCTCAGCCTCCTGAGTAGCTGGGATTATAGGCGCATGCCAACATGCCTGGCTAATTTTTGTATTTTTAGTAGAGACAGGGTTTCACTATGTTGGTCAGGCTGGTCTTGAACTCCTGACCTCAGGTGACCCACCCGCTTCAGCCTCCTAAAGTGCTGGGATTACAGGCTTGAGCCACTGCGCCCGGCCTCAAATTTTTTTTTTTTTTTTTTTTTGAGACTAAGTCTTGCTCTGTTGCCAGGCTGGAGTGCAGTGGCACAATCTCAGTTTACTGCAACTTCCATCTCTGGGGTTCAAGCAATGCCTCTGCCTCAGCCTCCTGAGTAGCTGGGACTACAGGTGTGTGCCACCACACTGGGCTAATTTTTTGTATTTTAGCTGGGTGAGGTGGCACACACCACCACACAGGGTTTCATCACGGCCAGGATGGTCTCCATCTCCTGACCTTGTGATTTGCCCGCCTCGGCCTCCCAAAGTGCTGGGCTGACAGGCCACCATGCCTGGCCACATTTGTTCTTAGCAGTAATATTTGGTCCCTGAAATCAGGAAACTAACTCTGCCGTGATCTTCTAAGAGCTACATTGTCCAGCTCCTGGGCCTGTACATCCTCATGGAGTGAAGACTGACAGATTTGCCTTGGGAAGTGGAGCTGCAGTGGCATGCTGGAGTCAGCTGCTCACGATGATGACGCACTTTTCTATCCAACTTTGGTTTCAGTGACATCCTATTGGTAGCTTGAAATTGGCCATAGCAGAGGCATTTACACCACAGTCATAGGTAAACACTACAAAGTAAGACTTTTCTCCTTGGAGATGACTTGTTAAATATTTACCAACACACCACTGCATGTTACAACACAGTAAAAGCCCCTCTGAGAGAAGGCCAGGGAATGTACCCAGCTCCTCCCAGGTGGTCCAGTGTTTCACCATTCGTGGACTCAAGAGTCCCTTAGTGGCCTTTGCTGAGATATTTCAACATCCTAGTCTCTTAAACTGTAAACAAGGGAGAGTCATGAGTTATTCCTGGCTGAGTCAGTCCAATGTTGCACAAGCATTTCTGGGGATAGAGGGAAGGCAAGAGGGAAACTGGACAGGCTGGGGAGCTATCTAACCCAAGACACTTGAATCCTGAACAAATGGGAACTAATAGGAGGTGGGAGGGACATAGTCTTTTCTGTGGCTCATTCTATTCCAGGAGTCAGAAACTCCAAAACCTGTGCGAGTGGGGAGGGGCGGGAAGTGTGTTTTTTTTTAGATATGGGTGGAGTTATTATAGGAAGGACTCTGTTAAATTCCTTCTCCCTGGCCCAATGTGGTGACTCATACCTGTAATTCCAGCACTGGAAAGCAGAGGCAGGAGGTCTGCTTGAGCTCACAAGTTCAAGACCAGATTGGGCAAAGTAGTCAGACTACAACTCTATAAAAAATGAAAGTAATTAGTCAGGCATAGTGATGCATGCCTGTGGTCCCAGCTACTTGAGAAGCGTAAAAACCTACCCCCATTTGAGGAAGGCAGCAAATCACACTGCCACATGTGTATCTATGCAACTATCTTGTGTGTTCTTCACATGTACTCCAAAATCTAAAATGCAATTAAAAAAAAAAACCTACCCCCATTTAACCTGGTATTTAAGGGGTGTGTGGTGGGCTGAATAATTATCTCCCGATGACATCCCAATACCTGGAAACTGAATGTTCCTTTATCTAGCAAAAACAAAAAACACAGGCTGGGCAGGGTGGCTCATGCCTATAATCCCAGTGAGACTCTGTCTGAAAAAACAAAAACAAAACAAAACAAAAATACCCCAACAAAGAGGGCTTTGCAGGTGAGGTTAAGTTAAAGACCTTACTTTTAAACATATTTTGTTTTATTTTATTTTATTTTGAGATGGAGTCTTGCTCTGTCGCCCAGGCTGGAGCGCAGTAACACAACCTCAGCTCATGATACCGAGCTTAATTGAAGGATCTTGATGCCAGGCATGGTGGCTTGCACCTGTAATCCCAGCACTGTGAGAGGTTGAGGCAGGTGGATCACTTGAAGTCAGGAGCTCGAGACCAGCCTGGCCAACATGGTGAAACCTGGTCTCTACTGAAGATTCAAAAATTAGCCAGGTGTGGTGGCACATGCCTGTGGTCTCAGCTACTTGGGAGGCTGAAGCAGGAGAATCGCTTGTGCCCGGAAGGCAGAGGATGCAATGAGCTGTGCTCGTGCCACTGCACTTTATCCGGGGAGACAGATCAAGGCTCCATCTCAAAAAAAAAAAATGAATCTTGAGATGGGGAGATGATTTTGGATGATCAGGGTGGGCCATAAGTGTTGTCACATGTATCTTCATAAGGGAGAGACAGAGGAAGGCTTGACTACACACATGAGAATCTGCCACAGAGGCAGAGATAGGTGTGAAGTATCACCCGTGAAGCAAGGAACTCCAAGGACTGCCACCAACACCAGAAGAAAAAGGTGTGGAACAGAGCCTCCTCTGGAGGCTTCAGAAAGAGAATGGCCCTGGCCGGGCACTGTGGCTCACGCTTGTAATCCCAGCACTTTGGGAGGCCAAGGCAGGTAGATGGCTTTGAGCTCATGAGTTGGAGACCAGCATGGGCAACATGGCAAAACCCCATCTCTACTAAAAATACAAAAAAATTAGTTGGGCGTGGTGATGCATGCCTGTAGTCCCAGCTATTCTGAAGGTGGGAGGATCGCTTAAGCCTGGGAGGCAGAGGTTGCAGTAAGCCAAGATTTCGCCATTGCACTCCAGCCTGGGTGACAAAGCCAGCCGCTGTCTAAAAAAAAAAAAAAAAAAAAAAAAAAAGAAATGAGAAAACCTAGACAGAAAAGATAGAACAGCTCATTCAGCCTCACAGAGCTGGTAAATAGAGAAGCAGGATTTGAACACTGATTGCTAAGTATAGAGATGACCAGGTAACCCCAACTGATAGGATGATAGGATTAGGGACGTTTCTCTGGAAAAGAGATCCTTATAAGGCATTCAGAAGAGCCAATGGAGTTTCTATTGGAAATTCAATGGGAATTTCAATGGGAAATTCCGGGAGGGGCATTCCAGGCAGTGAGCTACTGCCTGAGAAAGGGCAAAAACACATCTGTGGGAGAAAGCAGAGCACAGCTGGGCGTGGCCTGTTTTTTGCTGTGGCTGGAAGATGGGGGAGAAGGGTCGGAGACAAGTCAGGAAAGGGCAGTAGGGGCCTGTGCCACCAAAACCTGGGACAGGGACTTCTCTCAGCCAGGGTGCTCCAGGGTCCCCTTCAGCAGCCTGGAAGAAGGACCCCGGGAACCTTGGAAGCTCGGCCACAGCAGTGCAGGGTGATGGTGCCATTGAGCAAGACCTCCATCTTCCTGCATTTATCTCCCTGGCATTCCTGTGGCTTTCATGCCTTGGAGTTGGTTTTCCTGCCGGAAGGGAAGTTCTCGAAGCTGTCTTAAATCCAAGGAACTGGCTGGGTGCGGTGGCTCACGCCTGTAATCCCAGCATTTTGGGGAGGTCGAGGAGGGTGGATCACAAGGTCAGGAGATCAAGACCATCCTGGCCAACATGGTGGAACCCCCACCTCTACTAAAAATACAAAAATTAGCCGGACAAGGCAGCTAATTTTTTTTTTTTTTTTGAGACATAGGCTCACTCTGTCACTCAGGCTGGAGTGCAATGGCACAATATTGGCTCACTGCAACCTCTGTCTCCTGGGTTCAAGCAATTCTCCTACCTCAGCCTCCCGAGTAGCTGGGAATATAGACGCGTGCCACCGTGCCTGGCTAATTTTTTGTATTTTTTTAGTACCGACAGGGTTTCACCTGTTGGCCAGGCTGGTCTCAATCTCCTGATTTCATGATCTGCCTGCCTCGCTCTCCCAAAGTGCTGGAATTACAGGTATGAATACACTGTGCCTGGCCAATTTTTGTAATTTTAGTAGAGACAGGTTTTCACCATGTTGTCTCGAACTCCTGACCTCGAGTGATTGGCCTGCCTCGACCTCCCAAAGTGTTGGGATTACAGGCCTGAGCCACAGTGCCTAGCCAGATCTTTCACATTCTTAAATACTTTCTCTTCGTGTCCACTGCCCCTACCCTAGCCCGGAAAGCCCGCCTCCTGTCTCCTGGCTCCAGTGGTAGTTCTCTAACTAGTCTTCCTGCATCCACTTTGGCTTTCCCTTTAGTTAACACCCCACTGTGACCTTATCAGGTGCAAATTTAATCCAGTCTCCACATGCTCCCCTTTCAGGGCTTAAAAACACTTCCTTGGCCTCCTGCTGCTCTTTGGTTCAAGACCAGTGCTGGGCACTGTGGACTAGGCAACCTGGTGAGACCTTGTCTCCACGAAATAATAATAAAATAGCCAGGTGTGCTGGTGCACACCTGTAGTACTAACTATTCAGGAGGCTGAATGGGGAGGATTGTTTGAGCCCAGGAGATGGAGGCTATAGTCAGCCACTATCCTGCTACTGCACTCCAGCCTGCAGGACAGAGTGAGACCTTTCTCTCTCTCTCTTTCTCTCTGAGATGGAGTCTCGCTCCAGTTCCCAGGCTGGAGTGCAGTGGCGCAATCTTGGCTCACTCTGCCTCCCACGTTCAAGGGATTCTCCTGCCTCAACCTCCCGAGTAGCTGGGACAACTGGCATGCGCCACCTTGCCCAACTAATTTTTGTATTTTTAGTGGAGAAGAGGTTTCACCATATTGGCCAGGATGGTCCTAAACTCTTGATCTTGTGATTCACTGGCCTCGGCCTCCCAAAGTGCTGGGATTACAGGGGTGAGCCACGGCACCCGGCCTCTCTCTCTCTCTCTCCCCCAACTTTAAAAAAAAAAAAAAAAAAAAAAAAAGACCAAAATTCCCAACATGAATAAGGCTCCCGAGGGCATGCAAAGCTTGCAGGTCCCTCCAGCAGCAGCCCCCAACCTGCTCCGGAGCCTTTGGCAAGCTCTCCCTGGGGACCCAGTTTCCACCCCTCACCTACCATCTATCTTCCTTGGATCTTGGCTCCTTCATCTTCTTCTCATCTGTTTCTCAGGGACACCTTCCTTTCCTCCCATCAAGCTGCTGCTTCCCTATGCAGTCTTACAGCACTTACTACGAGGTGGTATCTTACTGGTGTGATTCTATGTCCATTTTCCTACCAGTACCCTAACGGCCGAGTGGGCAGGGACTGTGTGTTCGTTGGCTGAGCCTAGTATCCTGCCTACTGTAGTGCCTGACACATAGTAGGCATTGAATCCATATTTGCTGAATAAAGTAATGAGTAAAATCTGGGTAACAGAAGTGATAATCAGGTCTTTTTTTTTTTTTTTTTTTGAGACGGAGTTTCACTCGTTACCCAGGCTGGAGTGCAATGGCGGGATCTCGGCTCACCGCAACCTCCGCCTCCTGGGTTCAGGCAATTCTCCTGCCTCAGCCTCCCGAGTAGCTGGGATTACAGGCACGCACCACCATGCCCGGCTAATTTTTTGTATTTTTAGTAGAGACGGGGTTTCACCATATTGACCAGGACGGTCTCGATCTCTTGACCTCGTGATCCACCCGCCTCGGCCTCCCAAAGTGCTGGGATTATCAGTCTTTTTTTTGTAGTTGCTTAGGTACTTCATTTTGTTAAAAGGGACATCTTAATAGCTAATTACTTAGTGCCCTTACTGCCATCTAGTGGTGACAGATGTTACTATACTTCTGGGTCCCTTCTCAATGACTGCAAGATCTGTTACTGTACTGGCAGAGAAGGGAATCAGGATATGCAAGGTATCTGCTGGGTGTTTGCCTTGTTTCAGGTATTGTACCAGGAAGTTTACAACACTACCTACTTGTTACACGAGCAAAGGGAGTGTAAGCTGCTTTCCCATGGTCACCAGCTAAGGAGGAGACCTCAATTCAACACTTGGTAACAGTCTTTCTTTTTCTTTTCTTTAATTTTAATTTTAAAAAAATTTTTTTGAGATGGAGTCTTGCTCTGTCACCAAGCTAGAGTGCAGTGGCATAATCTTGGCCCACTGCAACCTCCGCCTCCTGGGTTCAAGCAATTCTGCCTCAGCCTCCCAAGTAGCTGGGACCACAGGTGCATACCACCACACTCAGCTAATTTTTAAAATATTTTTAGTAGAGACGGGGTTTCACCATGTTGGCCAGGATGGTCTCGATTTCTTGACCTCGTGATCCGCCTGCCTCGGCCTCCCAAAGTGCTGGGATTACAGGCATCAGCCCCTGTGCTTGGCCTCTGCCTGGCTTCTTATAGATGGTTTCTCTTGGTGTATGTTTTAGGCTTTTTGACTTTGGGGACTAGAAAGCTCTGGTCTCCAAGTCCCTACAAAAAGAGAGAGACAGAGCCTGGCCAGACTGGTCTTGAACTCCTGGGCTCAGGAGATCCTCCTGCCTCTGCCTCCCAAGGTGTTGGGGTTACAGGCATGAGCCACCGTGCCCAGCAGTATGCCTCATGTTTCATCCAGCACAATAAAACAGTGGGCAGCAGTCAGTGTAAGAGGCAAAGGCGTGGCCCCTTTCACCCATCAATCTGTGTATGCTTTCTCTTCCTGTTCTGGAAGACCTAATGAATATCCGCCATGGCCAGGTGAGAGATCTCAGACTGGCACAGGACTGACTGGTTGTATTTTGGAGATGTCTGTAGCTGGACTGCCTAGATCTGTGTGTGTGAGACCTGTGGTGAAGGCCTCTCATTACCCTGCCAGGGTTGGGGTACCTGTCTCCTCTCCATCTGGCCTTCTGGCTGGCTCCCTCTAATCTAGTTTCCAAATGGAAGCCAGAGCCCACCTAATACACAAGATAGGAGTTCTGTGTGCTGCATAAGTCTTTAGTTGCTCTTGCTTCTTACAGGATAAAATCTTTTCTTTAGCAGGGTACGTGGGGTCTTTATATCTGGCCTCTGTTCACTTCGTCTTCTCTCTGGTTCAGCTTTTTTGTTTTTTCCATCTCCTTAACTTACTGCCTATAATGTCCTCATGTCATTTCTTAGCCTATTTAATTCCCTTTTGTCTTTTTTAGTCCACAGATAAATCTTTACATAAATCTCTGTGTGATTCTGGCACACATATTTTTTGAATGCCTGAATGAATAAATAAGTATACAGGAAATTGATTTTTTTAAAAACTGTAGTAAAATACATATACGATTTGCCATATTAACAATTATTTATATTTATTTGTATTTTTTGAGAAGGAGTCTTACTCTTGTTGCCCAGGCTGGAGTGCAATGGCGTGATGTTGGCTCACCGCAACATCCATCTCCCAGGTTCAAGTGATTCTCCTGCCTCAGCCTCCCAAGGAGCTGAGATTACAGGCACGCACCACCACACCCAGCCAATTTTTGTATTTGTAGTAGAGACAGGGTTTCTCCATGTTGGTTAGGTTGGTCTGGAACTCTCAACTGTCTATAGCAGCAAGGAAAAGCACTTTAAGATGAGCTCGATAGCTCTGTCCTAATAATGCTTATGTCTGGATCCAAAGGGGACAGTGCCTCCAACTCAGGGGGTGACGGATAGGCCTTCCTGCACAGTGGATGTTTGTTGATGACTAAAGCATCTATTTGAGTTAATTGCTATCATTGTTATCATAGTCTCGGTGTCTGAGCAGTGTCATAGTCTCATTGGTGTCTGAGTAGTGTAAGAATATCTGCTCATCTTTGAGCTTGATTTCACCTGCATTAGTTCATTCTCACATTGCTATAAAGAACTACCTGAGACTGGATAATTTATAAAGAAGAGAGGTTTAAGTTGCTCACAGTTCCACAGATTGTATACGAGGCATGGCTGGGGGGGGTCTCAGGAAACTTACAATCATAGTGGAAGGGTGAAGGGAAAGCAAGCACATCTTCACATGGTAGTAGGAGGGGAAATGAGCGAAGGGAGAAGTGCTACACCCTTTCAAACAACCAGATCTCCTGAGAACTCAGTAACTATCACAAGAACGGCAAGGAGGAAATCCACCCCCATGATCCAATCATCCAATAATCTCCCACAGGGTCCCTCTCCCAACGTTGTGAATTACAATTCAACCTGAGATTTGGGTGGGGAGACAGAGCCAAATCATATCACCCCTCATTCAAAGCTATGAGATTATAAAACGGTCTTTTCTCCTGTCACTCAGATGACTGTAAATTCATGCTGGCACATCCACACCGAGACAGACAGTGAGGGAATCCTATGTGCTTTGGAGATTTGTAACAAAAATGTTTTCTGTTTCAAATATTCCAACTTAATAACATGGTAGTATGCTCATTATGTTCCTGTTTCCCAAAAGACACTGCTTGGGAATTCTGCTTTATCACCAGTGGAGCTGTGATGACTGTGGATGTCACTGGTAGTGGCCAACATTTCTGCAGCTCCTTCTCTGTTACTCCTTATCGCTCTTGACACAAACTCCTCACCAGGCACAATGGTTTTCAGGATCTGATCCCTAACCCGTCTCCATTCTCATTTCTTCATGCTCCCACACCTTCATAGTAATGTCTCCAACCTCCTCATGACTTCAAGTTTTCTGAGCATATTGTAGTTTTCCTCATTTTTGGTCTTACGTTTTTATTTTCCTCAACTGCTAGGATGTTCTGCCCTGTCCCCAGTGCCTGGTCAGCTATTTCTTAGAGCCCAGCTTAGGTGTGACTCCTTCCTGGGGGCAGGGGGACCTTTCATTGTAGGTCAGAGCAGGCGTCCCTCTAAGGTGTTCATGACTCCTTGTGATGGCCATTTCGGTGGCTCCTTCTATCCACTGCATTATGATTGCTTGCTTATGTCTGCTGGATTGCAAACTCCTCTGGGCAGTGGTTCTCAAACTCCTCTAGTGAGCATGCTGGGCCCCACTCCAGAGCTTCTGATTCAGTAGGTTGTGGGGTGGAGCCTGAGAACTTTATTTCTCAAAAAGTTCCCAGTTGATGCTGATGGTGTTGGCCTGGGGACTACACTGTGCGAACGCTGCTCTAGGGCGAGAATGGGGCTTGCTTTCTTAGTCGCCACTTTCCTAGAGTCCAGCCCATCTTGGTACAGAGCTGATAGTCAACAGGTGTTTGTTAATGTTGAATGAATTGAGTGCAAAAGGCGTTATGTTGTGTACTGAATTCCCCGGGTGTTCCCATCACATTCAGAAGGGAAATCTGAACAGTTTCAGAGAACTGATGATGAAGATGGTGAGGGAGGTGGTGGTGTAATTCTGAGTGGCTGGGATTATAGGCATGCACCACTGTGCCCAGCTAATTTTGCATTTTTAGTAGAGACGGGGTTTCTTCATGTTGATCAGCCTGGTCTTTAACTCCTGACCTCAGGTGATCTGCCCTCTCAGCCTCCCAAAGTGCTTACAGGCATGAGTCACAGTGCGTGGCTGTTTTTTTTAAATATTTTTTTTCTGTGAGTTCACGCTTTTTTTTTTTTTTTTTGAGACAGTTTCATTCAGGCTGGAGTGCAGTGGCAGGATTAGGCTCATTGCAGCCTTCACCTCCTGGCTCAAGTGATCCTCCCACCTCAGCCTCCCAAGTAGCTGGGACTACAGGTGCACACCACCACACCTAGCTAATTTTTGTATTTTTTGTAGAGAGAGTGTTTCGGCATGTTGCCCAGGCTGGTTTTGAACCCCTGGGCTCAAGTGATTCTCTTTCCTTGGCCTCCCAAAGTGCTGGGATTACAGGGGTGACCCACTGTACCTAAGCCTGAGTCTTACTATATTCTCACTCTTTCTTTGTGAGTTCTATCCATCCATTACTGGGAGAGGAGTGTTAGAATCTCCCATTATGATGGTGGATCTATCAAGTTCTCCTTGCAGCCATGCTAATTTTTGCTTGATGAGTAGTATCTTCCATTATGCTTTTCCTTGTCATTGCTAGTAATTCTCTTGGTCTTACAGCTGTTTTGTCTGATAATGTAGCAATATAAGCTTTCTTTTAGTTAGTATTGGCCTGGTATAATATGCTCAGTCTTTCTTGACACCCTTGACTTCTCTGTATGTCTGTGTCTTCCTTCCCTTCCTCCCCAACTCTCTCTCTTTCCTTCTTTTTTTTTTTAATGAGATGGTGTCTCACTCTGTGGCCTAGGCTGGAGTATTGTGCGATCTAGGCTGTCTGCTACCTCCGCCTCTCGGGTTCGAGTGAGTCTCCTGCCTCAGCCCCCCAGTAGCTGTGATTACAGGCATGTGCCACCACACCAGCTAACTTTTGTATTTTTGGTAGAGATGGGGTTTCACCTCGTTGGCAAGTCTCATCTCAAACTACTGGCCTCAAGTGATCCACCCGCTTCGGTCTCTCAAAGTGCTGGGATTACAGGTGTGAGCCACTGTGCCCAGCTTTTCTCTCTTTCTTTATCTCTCACTCTCTCTGTGTGGCTTCTCTTTTAAATGGCAGCTATATCTAACTTACAAAAAAAAAAAAAAAAAAAAAAAAAAAAAAAAACCCAGTCTGACAAATCTTTGCCTTTTAATTGGAAAGTTTTCCCCTTAAGTTTATGGAAATGTGACTTACTTGGGTTTACCTTCTGCCACCTTATTCTGTTCTGTTGTATTTCTTCTGCTTTCTGTTCTTCTCTTCCACCACCACCTAACTCCACCTAACAGCCACCATGCCTGCTAATTTTTCTATTTTTAGTAGAAATGGGGTTTTGCCATGTTGGCCAGGCTGGTCTCAAACTTCTGACTTCAGGTGATCCACCCACCTCGGCTTCCCAAAGTGCTGGGATTACAAGCATGGGCCACCAAGCCTGGCACATCCAGTGCCTTCTGATGGCTGAAGTGCATGTGACACCCTCTCTCTGAATTACACCAGGCCTACAATTCACTAGATTTGCCAGGCTAGATGGAAGAATATGTCAATCTGACTCAATTCACAGCCTCTCTTAACAGTTCCATCGAAATTACATCTAATTGAGGCTCATTCATAAACCTCGTTGATGTAAACAACTGCAAATGTGGAGGAGCCCACCACAAAGCTTGATAATTACTTCACGATGAAAACTCCACGGTCGGAGCATCACTGTTGCTATGACAACTGAGAGAAGCTGGTTGCCCACGGTTACCCGTGTTACCAGATGTCACTGGTGCTTGAGTGTTTGCTTCAAATGAGCCTTAGGAGAATAATGAGGAAAGGCAATTGAGAACTGTATAAATGTATAAATGGGTCTGAATAAGAGAATGTCTTCTTTTTTTCCTTTGGATTTAAACCCTAATAGATTCAGGAAGTGCCTATTTCATTATAGGACAATTGAGTTATATCTTGGAATCAGGGAGTCCTAAAATGACTTATCCTCTAAAAGATCTTTCTCTTTTTAACATTCTTTGTTAAATTTTTAATAAGTAATAGAATACGTGCTTTAAGCCTTAAACAATGCAAAAGGCAGCCAGGTGTAGTGGCTCATGCCTGTAAACCCAGTGCTTTGGGAGGCTGAGGCAGAAGGATCACTTGAGGCCAGGAGTTCAAGATCAGCCTGAGCAACCTAGTGAGACCCTGCCTCTACAAAAATAAAAAAAAAAAAAAATTACTCTCTGCTGCTTCAAGCACCATCTTTGAAGAGTTGCGTGGTGTGAAGTGGTTTGCATACATTAGTATGTATATGTATTCACACATTCATATACACTCAGGATATAGTTGGCCTAATTATCCCTGGGGGCATAGATAAAGCTTATGAAAAACTTTCTCATGCTGAATTGTAATTCTCTCTTACCTGTGAAGTAAAATTTAGATCAATCCCATGTCTGTGTTTATTTTGAGTATCATGGATATGCTTTAAATTTTTTTTTTCTAGAGATGGAATCTTGCTATGTCACCCAAGCTGGAGTGCAGTGGCGCCATCTTGGCTCACTGCAATCTCTGCCACCCCGGTTCCAGCGTTTCTCCTGCCTCAGCCTCCTGAGTAGTTGGGATTACAGGTGCGTGCCACCACACCCAGCTAATGTTTGTATTTTTTTTAAAGTAGAGATGGGGTTTCACCACGTTTGTCAGGCTGGTCTCAAACTGCTGACCTTGTGATCCGCCTGCCTTAGCCGCCCAAAGTGCTGGGATTCCAGGCTTAGCTGGATATGCTCTAAATTTAAAGAGGCAATGCTATTGGAATTATGTGGGTTCTAACTCATTTTAGCAAGGCAGCCTGACCAGATCACTTGAATGTTATGTTTCTTAAGACTATTCCAATATTCTTCTCACAAAAGGTCTGTAAAATATGAGAGATGAAAAAATTTTATATCAAAATCTTCAGAAAATTAGAAGCTTCTCCCTAACCTGTTTTGATATTCACTTAAATTATTATTTTCTAAAAAAAAATTTTTTTTTGAGATGGGGTGTCTCTGTCCCTTAGGCTGGAGTGCAGTTGTGTGGTCTCAGCTCAGTGCAACCTCTGCCTCCTGGGTTCAGGCAATTCTCCTGCCTCAACCTTCTGAGTAGCTGGTACAACAGGCACATGCCACCACGCCTGGGTGATTTTTTTATTTTTATTAGAGACCGGGTTTTACCACATTGGTCAGGGTGGTCTCAAATTTCTGACCTCAGGCGATCCGCCCACCTCGGCCCCCCAAAGTGCTGGGATTACAGGCGTGAGCCACCATGCCTGGCCTATTTTCTAAAATTAAAGAGCCCTACAACCACCTGTAAATCTTTCCACATACTATTTAAACATTTGTTTGTATTATTATTGATTTGCAGCATATTAATTTTTCTTTACAGGAATGCCATTGATATGCATGCTTTTATGTTTTTCAGAAAAAGGTGTTTTTGGATGAAAGTAAAGAAAATAAAGTAGGCTGGGCGTGATGACTTGCATCTGTAATCCCAGCAATTTGGGAGGCTGAGGTAGGTGAATCAGGTCAGGAGTTTGAGACCAACCTGGCCAACATGGTGAAACCCCGTCTCTACTAAAAATACAAAAATTAGCTGGGGGTGGTGGTGCACACCTGTAGTCTCAGCTACGCAGGAGACTGAGGCAGGAGAATCGCTTGAACCTGAGAGGCAGAGGTTGCAGTGAGCCGAGATGGCGCCAGTGCATTCCAGCCTGGGCAACAGGGCGGGACTCTGTCTGAAAAATAAATAAATAAAAAAAAGAAAGTAAAATCTTTTCCTGTCAAAAAAAAAAAAAAAAAAAACCTACAAGAGTGTAGTGGCATATGCCTGTAGTGCCAGCTACTGGGGAGGCTGATGGAGGAGGATGACTGGAGCCTAGCATTTGTGGCTGCAGTGAGCTGTGATCATGTCACTGCACTTTGGCCTGGGTGACAGAGTAAACCTCTGTCCCCACCATAAAAAAAAAAAGCAAAGGTATATGGTGAAGTTCTTTTCTCCTTACCTCACCCCACATATGCCCTCTTCCTATTTTGCCCCAAACATATTTTTTATGCCTATAATTCAATACAAAATATATTTTCCTCTTCTTTTTACATAAAGGAACATGTAATTTACACAAAAGAATAATATATTACTATTATTTTTTGATTTTTTATATTTGTTGAGACTGAGTCTTGCTCTGTTGCCAGGCTGGAATGCAGTGGCATGATCTCGGCTCACTGCAACCTCTGCCTCCTGGGTTCAAGTGGTTCTCGTGCCTCAGCCTCCCAAGTAGCTGGGATTACAGGCATGTGCCATCACACCCGGCTAATTTTTGTATTTTTTAGTAGAGACGGGGTTTCTTCATGTTGGTCAGGCAGGTCTTGAACTCCTGACCTCAGGTGATCCACCCACCTCAGCTCTCAAAGTGTTGGGATTACAGGTGTGAGCCATGCTCCCAGCCGCTTTTTTTTTTTTTTTAATTTTGTTGTTGTTGTTTGAGACAGAGTCTTGCTCTGCTGCCCAGCCTGGAGTGTAGTGGTGTGATCTTGGCTCACTGCAGCCTTCACCTCACAGGTTCAAGTGATTCTCCTGCCTCAGCCTCCCCCAAGTAGCTGGGACTACCGGTATGTGCCACCATGCCTGGCTAATTTTTGCATTTTTAGTAGAGACAGGGTTTTGCCATGTTGGGCAGGGTGGTCTTGAACTCCTGACCTCAGGTGATCTTCCATTGTTGGCCTCCCAAAGTGCTGGGATAACAGACGTGAGCCACTGCGCCTAGCTGCTTCCTAGTATCTGTAACTTGGATTTATCAAATTTATTCAACCAGTTCCAATTGATGGACAGTTAGGGTGTTTCTAGAACTTTATAATCGAAAAGGCTGCCATGACTAACCTTACATTAATGTCATATTGCATGTGTGAGTTATCTGTAGAATCATTCTTTTCCTTTTTCCTTTCCTTTCCTTTATCCTTTCTCCTTTCCTTCCCCTTTCCTTTCTGAGATGGAATCTTGATGTTGCCCAGACTGGAGGGCAGTGGCGTGATCTCAGCTTACTGCAACCTCTGCCTTCTGGGTTCAAGCGATTCTCATGCCTCAGCCTCCCCAGTAGTTGGGACTATAGGCACACACCACCATGCCTGGCTAATTTTTGTATTTTTAGTAGAGACGAAGTTTCACTGTGTTGGCCAGTATGGTCTCGATCTCTTGAACTTGTGATTTGCCCATCTCGGCCACCCTGAAGTGCTGGGATTACAGGCAGGGGCCACTGCGCCCAGCTGTCTGTAGAATAATTTCAAGACATAGAACTTCTGGGTCAAAGGGCTTATGGATTTGTAATTTAAAATTGCCCTCCATAGATTTTGTACTGATTTCCATTTCCACCAGAAATGTATGTGGGTCCATTTCTCCACAGCCTCAGAGTGTTTTGTCAAACTTGTAGGTTTTTGCCGATCTGGAAGGTGAGGAATGGTATCTGGGTAGAGTTAAAATCTGCATTTTTCTTGTTACGTATTTAATTTCATTGAACAGTCTAGTCTTAGGCTTTGCTTAATTCTCTCCTGGGTTGTTGACCCTTTTCCTTAGGGGGAGCTGTTAATATATTAGCAAGGTTAGCTATTTGTGATATGAATTTCAAATTTTTTTTTCTTTCAATTGTCTGTTACCTTTGACTTTGACACTATAGCAGAATGGATTGGAGTACAGGTTATAAGCCAGGCCCTGTGGTTCAAATTCCAGTTGGCCAGTAGGCTGTGTGAAGTTGGAAATTTACTCTCTATATTTTATCTTCCTTATCTATAGAATGGGTATAATCATAAGCTTTTGGTGAGGATTAAATGAGTAATACATTTGAAGTGTTTGTAAGAGTGCTACATAGAACATAATGGCCTCTAATCCCAGCACTTTGGGAAGCCAAGGAGGGAGGATTGCTTGAGGCCAGAAATTCAAGACCAATTTGGGCAACATAGCAAGACATTGGCTCTACTGAAAAAAAAAAGAAAAAAAAAAAGAAAAAAAATACAGTAAGCCCTATATTTGACACCAATACCAATTTTTATTTAAATTATTAAGAGTTTTGTGATTCCTGGATTTTGTGTCATACTTAGAAATGCTTTAAGAAAGTTTAAGAAACTTTTCTGGCCGGGCATGGTGGCTCATGCCTGTAATTCCAGCACTTTGGGAGGCTGAGGCGTGTGGATCACCTGAGGTCGGGAGTTTGAGACCATGCTGGCCAACATGGTGAAACTCTGTCTCTACTAAAAATATAAAAATTAGCTGGGCATGGTGGTGGGGGCCTGTAGTCCCAGCTACTTGGGAGGCTGAAGCAGGATAATCGCCTGAACCTGGGAGGTGGTGGTTGCAGTGAGCTGAGATGGCGCCACTGCACTCCAGCCTGGGCAACAGAGCAAGACTTAGTTTCTGGAAAAAAAAAAAAAAAGAAAGAAACTTTTCTTATGCCCTCCTTGGCACTGCCCCTGATCCTTTTCACATATTGAGAAGCAGTGTGCTGAGTAGTTATGGGGGCTGGTTTTTTTTTTTTTTTAAGTGATTTAAAAATATTTTTGCTCTTTTACTATTTTTTTTTCTTTTTCAACTTTTAGTTTAGAATTGAGGATACACGTGAAGGTCTGTTACAAAGGCATATTTCGTGATGCTACTTTTGAGGTGTGACTGGGCCTGCCATAGTATCCAAAAGGTAGATTTTCAGCCCTTGCCACCTCCCTCCTTTCACCCTTTGGTGGACCCCAGTGCCTGTTGTTTCTGCCTTTATGTCCAGGTGTGTTCTATGTTTGGCTCTCATTTATAACATGTGGTATTGGTTTTCCTCTTCCTGCGTTAATTCGCTGAGGATGATGGCCTCCAGCTGCATCCATGTTGTTGCGAAGGACGTGACTTCATTCTTCTTTATGGCTGCCAGAGGGCTAGTTCTTTTTTTTTTTGAGATGGAGACTCACTCCACCACTCAGGGAGGAGTGCAGTGGCACTATCTCAGCTCACTGCAACCTCCACCTCCCAGGTTCAAGTGATTCTCCTTACTCAGCCTCCCGAGTAGCTGGGATTACAGGCACCCGCCACCACACTTGGCTAATTTTTTTTTTGGTATTTTTAGTAGAGATGGGGTTTCACCATATTGGTCAGGCTGGTCTTAAACTCTTGACCTCAGGTGATCCACCTGCCTCGGCCTCTCAAAGTGCTGGGATTACAGGTGTGGGCCACCACATCCAGTTGAGGGCTAGTTCCTGAGTCAGACAGCCTTATTTCAATAGCAGCTCTGCACACATACTAGCCAAGTGACCTTGAGCAAGTCATTTCACTTCCTTAAATGAGGATTAAAATGATGCTCATTCACAAGGTGGCAGTGGGAATTGGGACTGTGACTGGCACATGATGATTGTGAATGAAAAGTAAATGGTGACAATTGCCTCTTTTTGTGTGTGTGCAGAGTATCAGCCACACTTGAGGGCATTTAACTTGTGCTTCTCTGTCTTTCCAGCAGTCTGTGAGTTCCTGAAGGTCAGGGACTAGGTCTTGTTTTGTATCCCTAGAGATATCTGCACTGAAGAACCTCAATAAGTGCTGTTCCCTATTGAACAGCACTTTAGGGATTACTTAGTTTAGATCATCCTTTGCAGTTCAAAAAGGAGAAAACCAAGGCAAAATGACTTGCCCATGGTCACAGAGTTAGAACGGAAGCTGGGGACTTTTCCATCCAGGCTCGTTCCATCACCGTGCAAGGCAGAAACTGGTAGAGGAGGGAAACCCATCACCCTCGATGCGATGTTGGCCCCAGGCCAGGAAGAGTGGTGTTCGGCGTCTGTCATCACAAGCATCTCTTCCAATCACTGTACATCGAGGTGTCTCACTCCAAGTTCTAAAATATTCATTTTCCTTGTTTGCGGTAGACCCATTAAAACATTAAAAAAAAAAAAAGTATGAATTGAAAGTTGAGGCCAAGCACGGTGGCTCACGCCTGTAAATCCTAGCTCTTTGGGAGGCCAAGGCGGGTAGATCATGAGGTCAGGAGTTCAAGAGAAACCCTGTCTCTACTAAAAAAATACAAAAAAATTAGCTGGACATGGTGGCGTGCACCTATAGTCCCAGCTACTCAGGAGGCTGAGGCAGGAGAGTCACTTGAACCTGGGAGGCGGAGGTTGCACTGAGTTGAGATCATGCCACTGAACTCCAGCCTGGGTGACAGAACCAGACTCAAAAAATAAAAAGGAAAGTTGAATCAGATTTAATTTTTCCTTGGTTGTTCCATTTCTAAAATAGGAGCCTTTATTCTTTATTCACTTGTTCATTGAACAAAACATTTGTAGAGCCTCTGTGGCCTCAATCTGGCACCATGGTGGACACTGTGGTGGCAAAGCTGAGCAGAGTGAGAGCTCTGCACACACAGAGCTCAGAGAATCGCAGCGTGACCACCTGTGATCCATAAACAACGGCTCACTTTTGAATTGCCAGGGCTTCACAGCATGGACACTGAGCTTTGGAGAACACAAGGCGAGGAGCTGTTTGTTTGGCTTGGGGCAGAGTTAACTGAACATCAAAGAAGAGGTGACATTTGAACTGCCTTTTGAAGGATAACTAGATGTACCTAGTGTATTGTCTTTGCTGCTGTTTGTAGATCTATCTGGACAGATGATGCCCTTTATGTGATAAGCTTTGCTGGGAGCAGACACACAGATTATTCAGAAAATCAGGCTTTATACTCCTCCCTCCCCCCTCCTCCTCCTCTTTTTTGAGATGGAGTCTCACTCTGTCTCGCAGGCTGGAGTGCAGTGGTGCGATCTGGACTCACTGCAACCTCTTCCTCCAGGGCTCAAGCAACTCTCCTGCCTCAGCCTCTGAGTAGCTGGAATTACAGGTGCCTGCCACCATGCCCAGCTGATTTTTGTATTTTTGGTAGAGACAGATTTCACCATGTTAGCCAGGCTGGTCTTGAACTCTTGACTTCAAGTGATCTGCCCTCCTCGGCCTCCCATATACTTCTCTGATGTGGTGATGCATTCTGTAGCCAAGGTCTTGCAACCGTTTCCTCATTTTCTGTGCCCGGTGTGAGGATGTATTACTTAACAAGCAAAAGTACAGGACTTGGCCAAGTGTAGAGGCTCATACCCATAACCCCAGCACTTTGGGAGGCTCAAGGGGATGGGCAGAGCCCAAGAGTTCAAGATCAGCCCAGGCAACATAATGGGATCTTGTCTCTGCAAAAAGGCAAAAAATCAGCTGGGTGTGGTAGCATATACCTGTAGTCCCAGCTACTTGGAAAGACTGCTTAAGCATGGAAGGTCAGGGCTACAGTGAGCCGGGTTTGTACCACTGCACTCCGGCGTAGGCAACAGAGCAGAACCCTGTCTTGATAAAACAAAACAAACAGGACTTCGAGCCAGGTATGGTGTCATACACCTAAAATTCAGCTACTGGAGTGTGAAGTAGGAGGATCACTTGGAGCCAGGAGTTCAAGGGCAACCTGTGCAACATAGTGAGACCCTGTCTCTAAAACAGAAACAAAAACAAGATTCCAATTAAATTACGACTTCTTTTCTTTTTTTTTTCTTGCCAAGTCTCTGAATGCATTCAGATTAAATTGCAGCTTCAAGTAAATAATATTGTAACAGAAATCTAAGGTAGCTATCTCCATCCTGTTTCTTTAACACAAGCTATCTGCCTTTGCTCATTCCTACACGTAGGCTGACATAATCATGGAAATAATTTGTAATTTAGAAATGATGACTATTTCTCTTTTTTAATTTTTTTTTTTTTTGAGACAGCGTCTCACTCTATCCCAGGCTGGAGTGCAGTAGTGCAATCTTGACTTACCGCAACCCCCACCTCCTAGGTTCAAGCGATTTTTGTGAGTCGCTGGGATTACAGACCCGTGCCACCACTCCCAGATGCCTGGCTAATTTTTGTATTTTTAGTAGATACAGTGTTTCGCCATGTTGGCCAGGCTGGTCTCGAACTCCTAACTCCAAGTGATCCACCGGCCTTGGCCTCCCAAAGTGCTGGGATTGCAGGCACCAGACACTACTCTGGGCCACTGTTTCTCTTTTGAAACAGACCCCTGAGGAGACAAGAAAGTATGCATACAAGTAACAGTGTTATGTTAAAGATTTATAGGAACAAGGTGGCCTGGTTTGTGTCATCCGGCAAGTAACTGACCCTGAGCAAGAAGTTCTGCAAACTCCTTGGACCCCTGCAGATGCCCATATATCTGTGGTCACCAGTTGCTCCTGACCTTATTGCACAATATAAAAAGAAGCTTGAGGCTGGGTATAGTGGCAAACAACTATAAACTCAGTGATTTAGGAGGCCAAGTAGGGAGGATTGCTTGAGCCCAAGGGTTCAAGACTAGCCTGGGCAACATAGTGAGACCTCGTCTCGCCAAAAAAATTTAAAAAGTAGCTGGGCATACTGGTGCACACCTGTAGTCCCAGCTACCTGTGAGGCTGAGGTGGGAGGATCATTTGAACCTAGGAAGTTGAGACTAGGCTTCCATGAACCTTGATCACACCATTATACTACAACCTAGGTGGCAGTGTGATTCTGTTTTTTTCTTTTTTTTTGGAGACCGAGTCTTGCTCTGTTGCCCAGGCTAGAGTGCAATGGTACAATCTCGGCTCACTACAACGTCTGTCTCCTGGGTTCAAGAGATTCTCCTGACTCAGCCTCCCTAGTAGCTGAGATTACAGGCACCTGCCACCATGCCCGATTAATTTTTGTATTTTAAGTAGAGATGGGGTTTCACCATGTTGGCCAGGCTGGTCTTGAACTCCTGACCTCAGGTGATCCACCCACCTCGGCCTCCCAAAGTGCTGGGATTACAGGTGTGAGCAACTGCGACTGGCCAACATTCAGTTTTTTTCCACACCAAACATAAACCCTTAGTTTTATAGACTTTTAAAAAGAAGGTCTATAAGCTGTATGATATTCTATTAAGTTTGTGTTGAATGTGTATGCTATCATCCACTTTTTGGAGAATGGCCATTTAAAACCCTGGGAAATCTGATTGGCTACAAAATCTAAGATTTTTTTCCAATTTATAGATCAGCATATTTTTTTCCAAGATGGAGTCTTGCTCTGTCACCCAGGCTGGAATGCAGTGGCACAATCTCAGCTCACTACAACCTCTGCCTCTTGGGTTCAAATAATTCTTCTGCCTCAGCCTCCCAAGTAGCTGGGACTACAGGTGCACACCACCATGCCTGGCTAATTTTTTGCATTTTTATTAGAGACAGGGTTTCACCATATTGGCTAGGCTGGTCTCGAACTCCTGACCTCGTGATCCATTCATAGAGCCTCCCAAGTGCTGGGATTATAGGCTTGAGCCACCACTAAATTCCATACAACTGGCATCCCACTACCACCAACAGTAGGCCCCGAGGAACCCTATTAGAATCGTCCCTCATTGGAAACTAGTTTATCTTTATCTAATTTAAGGTTGGTGCTAATTTCTGTTATTGACAATTTTGACCACCGATTGTAGGAGCTATTATGGAGACTTCCAGGGGAAGCTATTCAAAAGGCAATAATGAGCTAGGCCAAATAGCAAGATCTGAACCAGCAAAAAGGCAGAATGAGGCCGGGCATGGTGGGGTGTGCCTGTAATACCAGCTACTTGGGGGGCTGTGGCAGGATGATCACTTCAACCTGGGAGGTGAAGGTTGCAGTGAGCTGAGATTGCACCACTGCACTCCAGCCTAGGGCACACAGTGAGAATCCGTCTCAAAAAAAAAAAAGAAAAGAAAAATGCAGAAAGAAATAAGCAGATGCTTCACAGACCCAATATAGGCCCTCAGGGGCTTGAAATGAGGGCGACCTAGTTGTGTTTTAGCAATGTCACTTAAATTTCTTCACCCACAAATCTGCATAGCTTCTGAACAAGGTTCAGCAGAAAATCCACTTTTTTTGTGTCCCCTTTATAACATGCTGTAAGGCTGTACAGTAAATCCTCACTTAACATCATTGGTAGGTTCTTGGAAACTGCAGCTTTAAGCAAAATGACTATAATAAAACCATTTTTTTCTCATCAACATTATAATGAAATGAGGCTGAACAAAATGCATTATTTGAGTATCTGCTGTGCACTGCATTTTGCTTATACTTGCAGTTTCCAACAACCTATAAACAATGTTAGGTGAGGACTTACTGTATTACCACATTTAGTCAAAAAGGATCCTACTGGATTTAATCCAGTAACATTATATAAGCAATTACTTGTACACACATAAGTACAATTAATTGCACAAGTTCCCAGATCTTGAGTGTGTGATGCCTGGAGGCACGATATGCCTTGTGCTGGCATCACTCAGATTTTCTATATTTGCTAACAATTAGGTTATTTAAAATTTTTTTTTATTTGTTTTTTTTGAGACTGAGTCTCGCTCTGTCACCCAGACTGGAGTGCAGTGATGCTCACTGCAACCTCCACCTCCCGGTTCAAGTGATTCTCCTGCCTCAGCTTCCTGAGTAGCTGGGACCACAGGAATGTGTCACCACACCCAGCTAACTTTTGTATTTTTAGTAGAGATGGGGTTTCACCATGTTGGCCAGGATGATCTCTATCTCTTGACCTTGTGATCTGCCTGCTTCGGCCTCCCAAAGTGCTGAGATTATAGGCTTAGGTTATTAACTGAAAAAGTTAGAGTGCAGGAAAGCCATTAGCAATGATATTTAGAATATCAAGGATCGCTTTCTGCTCTTCCTTTGAAATTTTTAGGTGACTCTTATTGAAAACACAGAGAGGCATTAGTGTTAGTGGAATTGCTCTCTGATTTTTTTTTTGCCATTAGCCCAGAAACCCAGCGGTTGCTCTGGTTTTGCGCTAGGGCATTAGCTTGAGCTAAAGCTTGATTATAGTCCTATAGACTTTTCTGTAGGAAAAAGGAAAGGATAGGACAGGAGGAAATGAGGAAAAAAGAAAAAGGCGTAAGGCATTTTTTTCTTTTGAGAAGGAGTCTCACTCTGTAGCCCAGACCAGAGTGCAGTGGTGCGATCTTGGCTCACTGCAAGCTCTGCCTCCTGGGTTCAATCGACTCTCTTCTCTCAGCCTCCCGAGTAGCTAGGACTACAGGCTTGCACCACCACGCCCGGCTAATTTTTTTTTTTTTTGTATTTTTAGTAGAGACGGGGTTTCACCATGGTAGCCAGGATGGTCTTGATCTCCTGACCTTGTGATCTGCCTGCCTTGGCCTCCCAAAGTGCTGGGATTACAGGCATGAGCCACTGTGCCCAGCCAAGGCATAAGGCTTTTATGATGGCAGAGAAGTTTTGCTCCATGATCTTGGAAAATCTCTCCACTTCTAGTATGCCTTCTGCTTCAGGGGAGAAATTTCCCTGGTTGCCTTTACCTTAAACTTGTCAACCAAGGTACAGTTCCAAGAATCTGAGGGGGTCCTTTTGAGCTGTGACATAAGATTCGAAGCCCTTAAGCTTCACTGTACTGTGGGTGTTGAGAAGAAATTTGTACTTTCCTTCCAACAAGGTTCAAGGGCAGTCTCCTCTGATGTCATTTCCAGATGATCCAATTTCCAGACCCTAGACTTTGAACCATTTGACCGTCCTCAGTTGATGGGTCATTAACAATTCCTTTACCTGCTGAAAATACACTTTGGCATAATGCATTAAAGCCTTGCAATATTGAGTCATATGAGAGACAAGGAGCGGAAGAGATGCATGGAGTTCTATTATTAGGAGCATGGGCCTTCTAGTGACCACTTTATAAAGGGGTCAAGTTATGTTTTCCAGTGGGAATGGATGTGATTACCAGTAAAGCCAATGGTAGGACCTTTGGCCAAGGTAATCCATTTGACTCTGTTAACTTTTCCAATTTAAGTTTTAAGATGCTATTTGTTCTTTCAACCTTTCTGGGAGTCTGAGGGTATAGGGACAAGGGCAGTGTGTCTGCAACCCCCCACTTTTTTTTTTGAGCCAGAGTTTCACTCTAGTGCATTGGCGCGATCTAGGCTCACTGCAACCTTCGCCTCCTGGGTTCAAGAGATTCTTCTGCCTTAGCCTCCAGAATAGCTGGGATTACAGGTGACCGCCACTATACCCAGCTAATTTTTCATATTTTTAGTAGAGCCTGGGTTTCACCATGGGCCAGGCTGGTCTCAAACTCCTGACTTCATGATTCACCTGCCTTGGCCTCCCAAAGTGCTGGGGTTACTGGTGTGAGCCACTGCACCCAGCCTAGATTCTTCATTTTTTTTTCTTTTTCTTTCTTTCTTTTTTTTTTTTTTTTGAGTTCGATTCTCACTCTGTTGCCTGGGCTGGAGTGCAATGGTGATCTCAGCTCACTGCAACCACTGCCTTCTTGGTTCAAGTGATTATCCTGCCTCAGCCTCCAGAGTAGCTGGGATTACAGGCACGTGCCACCACGCTTGGCTAATTTTTGTATTTTTAGTAGAGACAGGTTTTCTCCATGTTGGTCAGGCTGGGTAACACCTTATTTAACTGCTTTATAACTTGCCTAGTAAAATGAGGTCTACTATTGCTATAGACTTCTCCAGTAGAGAAATCTTTCTTGTAGAGAAAACAGATTTTGTAATTTTTTAAGCTACTCTCACAGTATGGCTTTCCTACATGGAAAAGCCTCTACCCAACCCGAAAACATACAACTATGACAAGAACATACTGATAGCCCACTGAGGGTGGCAACTGAATGGAGTCTCTCTGTAAATATCCAGATGGTTCATTAGGTGCTGGAAGTATACCCCCTGAAGGTTTGATTGTTTCCCAGGACTATGCGTTTGATAAACGAAACATTGGTTATAAACCATTTTAGCAATTTTAGAATAGTCACCCCACCCATACTTTTTAATAATTTGAAATATTTTTTCTTTTTTGAAGATGAAGTCTTGGTCTGTCACCTGAGTGAGAGGCTGGAGTACAGCAGTGCTATCTTGGCTCATTGCAGCTTCTGCCTCCTGGGTTCAAGTGATTCTCCTGCCTCAGCCTCCCCAGTAGCTGGGACTACAGGCATGTGCCACTGTGCCTGGCTAACTTTTGTATTTTTAGTAGAGACAGGGTTTCATCATGTTGGCCAGACTGGTCTTGAACTCCTGACCTCAGGCCATCTGCCCGCCTCAGCCTCCCAATGTGCTGGGATTACAGGCGTGAACCACAGTATGTGGCCTGGAATACTTTTTCTGTTTCACAATGAGTTACAAAGTGCAGAGCTTTTAACAATGGAAGCTTTAAAGACTCAGGTAGGACTAGGTGGCCATCCAAACCCTCTGTGAGACTGTGATTAACACTGAATTTATATATTTTTATTTAATTTTGAGATGGAGTCTTGCTTTGTCGCCCAGGCTATAGTGCAGTGACACTATCTCAGTTTACTGCAACCTCTGTCTCCCCAGTTCAAGTAATCCTCCTGCCTCAGTCTCCAGAGTAGCTGGTATTACAGGCAGGTGCCAGCATGTCCAGCTAATGTTTGTATATACTTTTAGATATCAATTTTGTTTTTCCAAATTAGATGCATTGCACTGTTTATTAAGTAGGTCATCAAAAGGGAGTAGTTCACTTGGATTAACCTTATGGAGTTCATCCAAATTGCATATGTCAACAGTTTCAGCACTAGCTGACTCAGCATTAAAATCTACTGGGGCAGTTCCTTGATATTTGGCTGAGTTTTACAGGTATGGGCATCAATCTTAATAATGGCAATCTGTGACAGTAACAGGATAGCAGAAAGGAATTCATCTAATTGGAGTCCATTTTTGATAGGGCTCCCAATACAAGAGAGAAATCCTTTTTTTTCTTTGTGAAGCGGCCAGTTCACTGGCACGGGTCCGGCAGCCTCTGAGAATCTTTATTTTTTCCATAACATGCAAAACATCACATCCTACTCCAGAAACATATCCACATCTGTATAAATATTTACTGATTTGTCATTAGCTATATAACAAGCTTAGATGAGAGCAAAATCTCCTTAGGTTGAGCTGCCTTAGACTGAGGAAGAGTTCCCTTCTCTGTTAACTCATTTTGGGTGGTAATGGCATATCTTTTTTTTGAGACGGAGTTTTGCTGTTGTTGCACAGGCTGGAGTATAGTGGTGCAATCTTGGCTCACCACAATCTCCCCCTCCCGGGTTCAAGTGACTCTCCTGCCTCAGCCTCCGGAGTAGCTGGGATTACAGGGATGTGCCACAATGCCCGGCTAAGTTTGTATTTTTAGTAGAGATGGGGTTTCTCCATGTTGGTCAGGCTGGTCTTGAACTCACAACATCAGGTGAGTTCACAAAGTGCTGGGATTACAGGTGTGAGCCATCATGCCTGGCCGGTAATGGCATATCTTACTTATTATTTTCCTTCCAAGTTTTTAGCATGGGACCCATCAACAAAAAGTATTGACTCAGGATTATCCTACAGAGTATCTTGTAAATCAACATAAGGAGTTGCTATTACTTTTTTGTTCTTTCTTTTCTTCTGCCCCACCTCCCGTTTCTTTGCTGTTGAAAAAAGCTTTATTTCTGTTTGGTCCAAGGCAAGGAGAAAGCTCCAAAGTGGTTAAAAAGCTGCCCAGTGGCTGGAGGGAGAGGCCCAGGCAGAAGCCCTGGTACTTTGAGAGGGGGCCTTCTGAAGTTACTCAGTTTAGTAGGCTCCTAGATGTGCTTGAGGGTGAGCCTTTCAAAGAGACACTGGTCCAGTTGGCCTGGGGGCCAGACAACCTGCAGAGGTTGGCAGAGTGGTTTCCCATCTTTTTAATCAGTTTCACTTCCTCATTGTGAAGAGGCTCTTTAGAAAGTCACAGAGATGGGGGTTTGTGTGGGCAGAAACCCGGGCATAAAGATCCAGAAGGGCCTGGATCAGGTTCTTCTCCAGGACTGTGGTGGCTTCCATGGTGTCCAGGGTTTTACCCCACTCATCTTAAAAAATATTTTCTAATTTCTAATTTTTGTGGGTGCATAGCAGGTGTATTTATTTACGGGGTTCATGATATATTCTGATATGGTCATGCAATGCACAATAATGACATCATGGGGAATGTGGCCCCACTCATGTTGAGATGGCTTCTGGAAGTTTTGGAAGACAGTGTGGTTGCCACACTGGTTTTGCATCTTCAGGAGACACTTGGTGCCCTCGTGCTTTTCCTTGGACAATTTGTGGAAAAAGTGGCCCATGCCTTTGAATGCCACATCTTGGCAGTTGAAATAGAAGCCCAGAGAGAGGCAGGTGTAGGTGGCCTGCAGATGCCAGCTGACCAGGTGCTTGACAGCTGTCTCCATCTTGGTAGAGTAATTCTGATGAATCTAGGAGCTCATGGTTGATAAGAAAAGGAGCAATTCACAAAAATGGTGTTGGCTGGTCCCAGAAGCAGGCAGTGGCAGAGAAGATAGTCTAGAGGTTGCAAGTGGAGGGGAGAGTGGAGAGCAGTCAGCGGCTGGAAGAGAGGGAGACCTGGGTCTGGTCCATCCAAATACTGTTTGTGTTTTTGAGACGGAGTCTCGCTTTGTCACCAACACTGAAGTGCAGTGGTGCGATCTAGGCTCACTGCAACCTCTGCCCTCTGGATTCAAGTGATTCTCGTGCCTGAGTCTCCCAAATAGTTGAGATTACAGGCGCCCGCTACCATGCCCGGCTAATTTTTTTATTTTTAGTAGAGATGGAGTTTTGTGTTGGCCAGGCTGGTCTCGAACTCTAGACCTCAAGTGATCCGCCTGCCTCCGCTCCCTAAAGTGCTGAGATTACTGGCATCAGCCAAAACACTGTTGAAGCAAGAGACAGATCCGCAGAAGTGCAGAATGCACTGCCCACTATTTATTTTCTCCTTTTTCTTTTTTGAGACAGAGCCTGTCTCTGTGGCCCAGGCTGGAGTGCCCTGGTGCAATATTGGCTTACTGCAACCTCTGCCTCCTGGGATCAAGTGATTCTCCCACCTCAGCCTCCTGAGTAGCTGGGATTTCAGGCACCTGCCACCACATCCAGCTAATTTTTGCATTTTTAATAGAGACGGGGTTTCACCATGTTGGCCAGCCTAGTCTCGAACCCCTAACCTCTTGTGATTTGCCCGCCCTGGCCTCTCAATGTGTTGGGATTACAGGCTTTAGCCACTGTGCCCAACCAACTTCTGATACTACACTCACACAACTGTGATCTTCACCATTGTCAGGCAGAGGTAAATAAATAGCAGGGGTAAGTAGGTTGCAACATTTTAGATGGAGAGGAGAGACAGGAGAAGAATTTCATGAGATGTTAGTCTACTTACTGAAAAATGCTGAGTTTGGTTGGAATTTAATAGCTTTTCCACAGCATATGGAACTTGCAAATTAAGTTCATTTCCTAAAACCAGCTCCTATGAAGCTTCTACCAACTAGGCTTCTGCTGCTACTGCTTTTAAATAATTAGGATATGCCTTAGCTACTGGGTCTAATTGCAGCTTATAATAGGCAATGGGCCTGTTTCTCCCCATGTTTTTGGGTAAGAACTCCTAATGCCTGATATGAGGTTTAGGAACGAACAAGGTAAAAGGTTTAGCCTAATTTGAAAGTCATAAAGCTGGGGGCGGTTGTAAGGCCGATTTCATGGTTAAAAGCCTGCCCATGACTGTCGGCTCAAGGTAATGCGCTGGGACTGTGTTTCTAGTGAGCTCATACAACGGTGAAGACATCACAGAAAAGTTGAGGATCCAGGATCTGCAATATCCTGCAAGTGTAAGCAAACCTCTTAATCGTCATTTGGTTGCAGGCTGAGAAAAACTCTGAATTGTTTTTATTCTGTCAGGTGAGAGAGAAATCCCTTTAGCAGTCAAGTCATATCCCAAATAGTAAACTTTTCTCTTGACATAAAACTAAAGTTTTTCCACCAAAGCTTTGTGACCTATGTGGGTGAGGGAGTTGCTGTAAAAGGTAATGGAGTCAATTTCAGAGCACTGTGTTTTTTTCCTTTGCCTCATTCAACACCTTTGGTATCAGGGCACTAGTTTTTTTTTTTTTTTAATTGAAGGAGTCTCGCTTTGTTGCCCAGACTAGAGTGCAGTGGCACAATCTTGGTCAGCTCTCTGCAACCTCCACCTCCTGGGTTCAAGCGATTCTCCTGCCTCAGCCTCCTGAGTAGCTGGGACTACAGGCGGGAGTGACCATCACTGGCTAATTTTTGTATTTTTAGTAGAGACAGGGTTTCATCATGTTGGCCAAGCTGGTCTTGGACTCCTGACCTCAAGTGATCTGCCTGCCTCAGCACCCCGAAGTGCTAGGATTACAGGCGTGAGCCACCAGGCCTGGCCCAGAGCACTCTTCAGTGGGAGAGCATAACATGTCATCTGCATACTGAATAAGAATAGGATTTCAACCAGGCGGAGGGTGGCTCATGCTTGTAATCCCAGCACTTTGGGAAACTGAGGTGGGTAAATCGCTTGAGCTCAGGAGTTAAAGACTAGCCTGGGAAACATAGCAAAACCTCATCTCTATTAAAAAATATATATTTAATAAAGAAAAATAAAAGGAAAAGAAAACATAGGATCTCAGGGAAACTGTAGGGCTAAAGTCCTGATGCAATACCTGGGAAAATAAAAATAGGCTTCAGTAAACCTCTGTGCCATTATAGTCCAGGGCTACTGCTGGCTTTTCCAGATAAAAGCAAATATGGACTGTCTTTATAAACGGGAATGCTAAAGAAGGCTAAGAGCGGTCTGTTACTGTGAACCACTTTGAATCAGAGGGTAAATTAGATAATAAAGTTTTAGAGTTTGGAACCACAGAAAGACTTGGTATTACAATTTTATTAATTGCCCATGAATCTTGAACAAAAACAAATCTCTGACCTCATCTTATTTGTTTTGTTTTTGAGACAGAGTCTTGTTCTGACACCCAGGCTGGAGTGCAATGGCATGATCTTGACTCACTGCAACCTCTGCTTCCTGGGTTCAAGCAATTCTCCTGCTTCGGCCTTCCTAGTAGCTAGTAGTAGAGGTGTGTGCTACCACATCTGGTTAATTTTTGTATTTTCAGTAGAGACAGGGTTTCATTATGTTCGCCAGGCTGGTCTTGAACTCCTGGCCTCAAGTGGTCTGCCTGCCTTGGCCTCCCAAAGTGCTGGAACTACAGGCGTGAGCCATTGCCTCCCAGCCACTTAGTATTTTTTTTTTTTAACTGGTAGGATTGGAGCATTTCAAGGACTGATAACACAGAATTGTAAATCTTGTGCAATTGGTGAGAGCCCTCGAATTGCTTCTGGTATTAGTGGATTGGGGTAACTTAGGTAGAGGTTTAGAATGATCCATTTGCACTTTTATAGGTTCCACCCTTTTAGTCCTTCCTATATCATTTGAGAAAGAGGCCCATAAGCATTCAGGTGTTTTATAAATGTCAGGGTTATTACAGGTTTGAGAGTCGATCTTATCAATTTCTGTCTGTAGAGAGAACAGTTCTGGTTCAGGAGAGTCGGGAAACTCTAAGATTAATTTTTTTCTCCGAGGAGATATTGATATGCCTTTTAGTGTTGAAAGTAAGTCTCAACCTAGCAAGTATACTGGAGCAGTATCACAGTAAAAAGGTATGTTTTTCTGAAAATAGCCCCAAAGTCAATTGAATGGGTTCAGATAAGGAAACCTCTTGAACTTGGTTGAAATGACCCCAACCCACCACAGAAATGACCTTTTCAATATGCAAGATTTGTTGGCATATTAAAGTGGGGTTTATGAATGAGGTGGTTCTGATATCCACCAAGACAGCACAAGATTCTTCATGTTTTATTTTTTATAATTTATTTATTTATTTTTTGAGATGGAGTCTCACTCTGTTGCCGGGCTGTGGAGTGGCACGATCTTGGCTCACTGCAACCTCCGCCTCCTGGGTTCAAGCAATTCTCTTGCCTCAGCCTCCTGAGTAGCTCAGATTATAGACAGCCGCCACTACACCCAGCTAATTTTTTGTATTTTTAGTAGAGACAGGGTTTCACTGTGTTGGTCAGGCTGGTCTCAAACTCCTGACCTCATGATTCACATGCTTCGGCCTCCCAAAGTGCTGGGATTACAGGTGTAAGCCACTCTGCCCAGCCTAGATACTTTTTTTTTTCCTTTTGAGATGGAGTCTCACTCCACTGCCTGGGCTGAAGTGCAGTGGTGATCTCGGCTCACTGCAACCTCTGCCTCCCAGGTTCAAGTAATTCTCCTGCCTCAGCCTCCTGAGTAGCTGGGATGATAGGTATCTGCCATTACGCCCAGCTAATTTCTTGTATTTTTAGTAGAGACGGGGTTTCACCATGTTGGCCAGGCTGGTCTTGAACTCCTGACCTTATGATTCGTCTGCCTCGGCCTCCCAAAGTGTTGAGATTACAGGCATGAGCCACCGTGCCCAGCTCAGAATCTTCATTAAAATGAAAATTCTTATTTATTTGAGACAGGGTCTTGCTCTGTCACCCAGGCTGGAGTGCAAGGGTACAATCTCCACTCACTACAATCTGTGCCTCCTGGGCACAAGAGATTCTGCCACCTTAGCCTCAGCAACAGCTAGGACTATAGGCACACACTACCATGCCTGGCTAATTTTTGTATTATTATTATTACTATTTTTTGGTAGAGATGGGATTTTGCACAGTTTAGTCTCAAACTCATGGGCTCAGGCTATCTACCCACCTTGGCCTTCCAAAGTGCTGGGACTATAGGTGTGAGCCACTATACTCTGCCTCTTCATTCATTCATTCATTCATTCATTCATTCATTTATTCATTTAACTCTTGTTTCTCCATGTTTACTTAAGCATTTTACAAAATTGGAGACTCTCTTGGAGCCTCATTCATGCTGACTATCATCACAAGAACTGACATATCTTGTGTACTCATTGGAGATGAAACAGGATCTATTAATTCATTTTCATGCTGCTAATAAAGACATACCTGAGACTGGGAAGAAACAGAGGTTTAATGGATTTACAGTTTCGCATGGCTGGGGAGGCCTTACAACCATGGCAAAAGGCAAGGGGGAGCAATCATGTCTTACATGGATGGCAGCAGGCAAAAGGAGAGAACTTGTGCAGGAGAACTCCTCTTTATAAAACCATTAGATTGACCGAGCATGGTGGCGCACACCTGTAATCCCTACTTTGAGAGGCCAAGGTGGGTGGATCACAAGGTCAGGAGATAAACACCATCCTGGCTAACATGGTGAAACCCCATCTCTACTAAAAATAAAAAAAATTAGCTGGGTGTGATGGCATGCACCTACAGTCCCAGCTACTTGGGAGGCTGAGGCAGGATAATTGCTTGAACCTGGGAGGTGGAGGTTGCAGTGAGTCAAGATTGTGCCATTGCACTCCAGCCTGGGTGACAGAGCAAGACTCTGTCTCAAAAAAAAAACAGGTCTTGTGAGACTTATTCACTATTACAAGAATAGCATGGGAAAGACTTACCCCCATTATTCAATTACCTCCTACGGGGTTCCTCCCACAACACGTGGGAATTCAAGATGAGATCTGGGTGGGGACACAGTCAAACCGTATCACAGACTGGTCCCAAAGGGAGGAAGCTTGCTGGTGGACTGACATGAAAGTGGGCAATCATTTTTCCAGTCTCCCCAAAGTAAGGAAGACTTTAGTAACCCCCTGTTGCATTCCCCTGTGGTTTGTAATGAAGGCAGACACCTCAGAGTAAATAATTTCTTGTTCTAGGACCTCTTGTTTGTGATTTAAAATAAAAACGAGAAGATCCTTTTGGTCTGGGCCCCTGTAACTGTTGTAATTGGAGAGATATAAGCTTATTAGCCTTTTGGCTTTTTGTTTTTTCACACTAGAGTCATCTCAAAATGTTCAGTTAAGGCCACCAATTCAAGCATATCTGTAACTTCCCATCCAGGTTTATGTTTTTTTTTTTTAATTAAACTGTTAAGTTCAGAGTGGAGTCCACTTATAAAGAGAGGTTAATGCCATTTCAGTCCCTGCAGGAAATACTCCTTGCTCTACTTTCAGCCCAGAATATTTCACAATGTTTCTAAGCGGGTTCTTTCATCTGAAACTGGTTCATCCTGTTTTTGTCTACAGGATAGTATGATGGACCAATCAATTTTTCTGTGTGCGGAAAAATCTTAGGAATTGAACTTAAAAGGTTTTCTGCAATTCTTCTAGTTCCTTTTAGCCCTTCTCATGAAGAGGTTTTGGGGGTTCTTTCATATTCTCCTCAGGTCTGTCCCATGGAGTTGCTGCCAGCCATTTTCAAGCTTCGTCAGGCCCCAATATCATGTGGATAAACTCGTAAAGGTCAGGGAGTCATGAATTGTAAGCTCCAAAAAGAATTCTAAATTCCTCAGTAATTTTTTTTTTGAGATAAGGTCTTGCTCTGTCACCCAGGCTGGAGTGCAGTGATGCGACCTCAGCTCACCACAACCTCTGCCTCCCAGGTTGAAGCAATTCTCCTGCCTCAGCCTCCTGAGTAGCTGGGATCACAGGAGTGCACCACTATGCCTGGCTAATTTTGTATTTTTAGTAAAGATGGGGTTTCTCCATGTTGGTCAGGCTGGTTTCGAACTCCCAACCTCAGGTCATCCACCCACTCAGCCTCTCAAAGTGCTGGGATTACATGTGTGAGCCACCATGTCTGGACCATTCTTCAGCAAATTTTTAAATTTTATTTATTTATTTTTCATTACAATTCAAGATGATTCTTCAGTAAATTTTTGAGGATTTTCCTGTAGGCTAGGGAAGTCTTTCATAATAGCTTTAAACTCTGTTTTAAGCCATGGAGTGAAGGTGGTTACAGCAGGAATACATCTGTCTAACTTCTCTTTTTTCATCATCTTCAGGGTAAAAGGGTAATGAAGCAAAAAAGTTGGCTCCATGGCCCAGGCTGGAGTGCAGTGGTGCAATCATGGCTCATAGCAGCTTCGATCTCTCAGGCTCAGGTGATCCTTCCACCTCAACCTCCCGAGTAGCTGGGAGTACAGGCATTTGCCACCACACCTGGCTGTTAAAAAACATTTTTTTTTTTTGGGGGGCTGGGTGCTGTGGCTCATGTCTGTAATCCCAGCTTTTAAACATAAGATTATCTGGAACTCTAGAAGGTAGAGTCCCAGACTTGAATTGAGATGAACTCGTTATCAGAAAAGCACTATCTAAAGCCTAAGTCTTTTAACTGAATCTAATGCAGTTAATTATCAAATTCAATCTGATCTTGAACTCAGATCAGTCTAAATATTGCTCAAATCAACTTAGCTTAAAGCATAATTTAGTGGAACTTGGAATATAAGAGAAAAGCCACCCATCAGCCAGGTACAGTGGCTCACACCTGTAATCCCAGCACTTTGCGAGGCCTTGGCGGGTGGATCACTTGACATCAGGATTTCAAGACCAGCCTGGCCAACATGGTGAAACCCCATCTCTACTAAATATACAAAAATTAGCTGAGCATGGTGGCTCAGGTACTCAGGAGGCCAAGGCAGGAAAAACCCTTGAACCTGGGAGGTGGAGGTTGCAGTGAGCCAAGATTGTGCCACTGCACTCTAGCCTAGGCAACAGAGACTCTGTCTCAAAAAAAAAAAAAAAAAAAGGAAAAGCCACCCATGGCCCTCCAGTTACCAAGAGGGCAGTGAACACAGTTGGATTCGTGGGTACCTGAACTGGTCACCTGGTGCACTGGAATTTTACTTTACATCCTCACTTCTGACATCAAATATTAGAAGAAAAACTTGAGACAAATTAAATTAACAAAGTTTAATTGAGTGAGAAAGAAAAAAAATGCTCTGGGCAGCCCTCAGAACCAGACAGATTTAGAGGACTCCAGGGCAACTAGATGATTCGATAAGATTTATGGACAAAAAAAGGAAAGTGACATACAGAAAATGGAAGTAAGCACAGGAACTGCTAGACTGATTACAGCTTGGTGTCTTTCTTTTTCTTTTGTTTTTTTCGAGATGGAGTTCTGCTCTTGTTGCCTAGGGTGGTGTGCAGTGGAGCAACCTCGGCTCACTGCAACCTCAGCCTCCCAGGTTCAAGTGAGTCTCCTATTTCAGCCTCCATATTAGCTGGGATTACAGGCATGTGCCATCATGCTTGGCTAATTTTGTATTTTTTTTTTTGAGACAGAGCCTCCCTCCGTTGCCAGGTACCAGGCTGGAGTGCAGTGGCGCGATCTTGGCTCACTGAAACCTCTGCCTCCTGGGTTCAAGCAATTCACCTGCCTCAGCCTCCCAAGTAGCTGGGACTACAGGCACGTGCCACCATGCCCAGGTAATTTTTGTATTTTTAGTAGAGACGAGGTTTCACTATGGTGACGAGGATGATCTCGATCTCCTGACCTTGTGGTCCGCCCGACTCGGCCTCCCAGAGTGCTGGGATTACAGGTGTGAGCCACTGTGCCCAGCCCTAATTTTGTATTTTTAGTAGAGAGAGGGTTTCTTGATGTTGGCCAGGCTGGTCTGGACCTCCTGACCTCAGGGGATCCACCTACCTCAGCCTCCCAAAGTGCTAGGATTACAGGTGTGAGCCACCTCACCCAGCCCTAACCTTTTCTATTCTTGGACTTTTCAGTAATGAGCACACATTACATTTAATTTGTGCTCTAAAAATACAAAAATTTTTAGAGGGCAGAGGGTGTGACATGAAAATGTTAGGGCAGAGGGTGTGATATGAAAATGAAAATGCAGACACTACGCTGGGCGTGGGGGCTTATGCCTGTAATCCCAGCACTTTGGGAGGCTGAGGCAGGTGGATCCCCTAAGGTCAGGAGTTCAAGACCAGCCTGGCCAACATGGTGAAACTCCAAATGTACTAAAAATACAAAAATTAGCTGGGTGTGGTGGCACGCACCTGTAATCCCAGCTACTCAGGAGGCTGAAGCACGAGAATCTCTTGAACCCGGGAAGTGGAGGTTGCAGAGGGCTGAGATTGTGCCACTGCACTCCAGCCTGCTGAGTGACAGAGTGAGATTCTGTCTCAAAAAAAAAAAAAAAAAAGAAACTGCAGAGACTGGGGAAGATGAAGGTGACTGTGTGTGTTAAGGACTGAGGTCCATGTGGCTTAGTTATCAGGACTGAAGACTGAAACCACCTGTGTCAACATGCCCACTATTTATTCCAGAACATTCTTGCCTGAGAAGATAAAACTCTAAACCAATAAATACCTCACTGTTTGCTCTGGAAATTCTTGAAAACCTGTTTAAACAAGGTGTTGCTTACTTGGGCAGGTAACTCCTTTCTCTGGACAGCTGGATGCTCACCTGGGCAGAAAGTTTACTTGCCAATCAATTGCATCCTAATCAAAACTCGCTTTCTTGCTCTTGCCCCACTGTGGCCCCCATCCTAAATTAGAACCTCAAAAACTTTGCCCAATCCTAATCAGTTCCACACATTCAAAGACCCACCTTAAATCACTTATTTTTCTTTTTTTGAGATGGAGTCTTGCTCTGTTGCCCAGACTGGAGTGCAGTGGCACAATCTCGGCTCACTGCAACCTCCTCCTCCCGGGTTCAAGTGATTCTCCTGCCTCAGCCTCCTGAGGATTTGGGATTATAGACATGCACCACCCCTGGCAAATTTTTGTATATTCAGTAGAGACCAGATTTCACCATGTTGGCTAGGCTGGTCTTGAACTCCTGATCTCAGGTGATCCACCCACCTAGGCCTCCCAAATTGCTAAGATTACAGGCTGCCCGGCCAAACCACTTGAATTAGAACACTAAAATCCAATAGGTATCTGCCACTTGTCTACCCCTCTGAGACACTCCTATGGCCTGATCAGGATTAATTTGCTGCCTCTGACAGCAGTTTGGAAAAAAAAGTCATGGCTTTGTTTGATGCATGGGTTATTCTGGTGGTCTTTCTGGGAAGTCGGCAGTCAACAGCATGTATGTGTTTGAGTGTGTGTGTGTTTTTGCTTGTGTGATAGTGTCTGTAAACTTGTGGGAGGAGGTACGTGCACATGTGTGCTTGCCGGTTAGAAGTCAGGCTGGAGAGGTAGAGTACAAGTTTTGAAGGGTCTCCAATGTCAACCTAGGGAACTTGAATTGTTTTCTATAGGTAATGAAGGTCTTGAAGGCTTTATTAGAGAGATGATAACATGTTCGGGTCAGTGTTTTGAAAAAATATCTGTGATCTTGTCTTGGGAAAATTCTCAAGGCCACAGATGAAATGAATGAGATTGTCGGTCAACAATGTGGTAGGTTAAAGATGGCTGCACATTCTTTGCCACTTTCCCGTCAAGAATGGAGTTGGCTAGGCTCAGTGGCTCATACCTGTAATCCTAGCACTTTGTGGGCCTGAGGCAGGAGGACTGCTTAAGTTGATGAGTTGGAGACTAGCCTGGGTAACATAGGGTGACCCTGTCTTTACAAAATATTAGAAAAATTAGCTGGGCATGGTGGCCCATGCCTATAGTCCTAGCTGCTCAGGAGACTGAGGTGAGAGGATTGCCGGAGCTTGGGAGGTTGAGGCTGCAGTGAGTCACGACTGTGTCACTGAATTCCAGCCTGGACAGCAGAGCAAGACCCCATCTTTAAATAAATAAATAAGAAATGGAGTTTATCCCCTCCCCCTTTATATTTGTGCTAGGCTCGGAGTAGTTTTGACCAACAGAACACAATGAAAGTGACCCTGTAATTCCTAAGACTAGGCCTTGGAGATTGGCAGCTCTGCTTTCCTCTTTCGAACACCTCCTTTTAGAAGCTGGCTGCTAGATAAAAAGTATGCAACCACTATGTTGTGAGGAAGCCCAAGCTAGCTACATGTAGAGAATGGCCACAGGGAAAAGCACAGAGGCACCCCAGAATAGTGACGCCTTCTTGAAAATTCCATTCTAACCTAGCCACTGGCTTATGCTGCTGATTGAATGACCCCTGCCGATGCCACATGGAGCAAGCCTCCCATCTGAACCTACTCTGAATTTCTGACTCACAGAATTTTGAGCAAGCAACGCTGTTGTCTTAAGCCACTAAGTTATAGGGTAGTTTGTTATGCAAGTAACAGACAACTGAAACAAACAGCTAACATTTCTTGGTTATTCAGCCCACATTATGCACTAGCCCTCTCCTCCTCTCCTTCTTAATCCCAGAGGTAGGATTATTAATTATTTTTATTCCTGCTTTACTGTTGGAAGCACCAAAGGTGAGGGAAATGTGTCGGGGGGACAAGAAGAATGGAACTAAGGGAAATGTGGATGTAGGGAGATACACCTCAGGTAAGAATGCTGGACAGGAGAGAAGGTGCTGGAGAAGCCCCTGGTCTGGGTTTCATTTACAGCATCTGATTCTCAGAGAGGGATACAAACTCTGGCTTGGGGCTGGCTCCTGGCTTTAAGTGTTTCTTGCCTCCCTCCTTCAGACTCTCCAATCAATAAATATCCAGGCAGACCAACCTGCCTTTGCACCCCCACTCTCCAGTCAGAATTTCCAGGTAACACCTGGGTTTGGGGTGAAGTCTTACTTTTGTTGGGGGGAGAGGTAGGTAGCAGGGAGAGCAAGACTCTTCCTGATCATAAAATTAATTGGCTCAAAATATGTGCCCTCTTGGGTTTCAGCAACTTGGAGAAATCTACTCCTTAATGAGGAATTTCACCAGCTATGAATTGATATGCAAATCTATGCAAATAACATACTTCTCCTGGGCCTCTTGAGACAGGTTTTTGTTTTTAATAGGATTACTTCACTGGACCAATTCAACTGTGTAGAAAAAGCCTTTTGCAAATGAGATTTTCTTATTAATAACAGCTGCCATGGATTGAGTATCAGGCACTTGATGTGTCTATTTATAAGCCTCTCATTGCAGAACCAAGCAAAGCTCCAGATGGACAAACTGCAGATAGTACCTTGTAGCTGGAACTCAGGTTTGCCTACAAAGCCAAGAAATACAAAAGCCATAATCTTAAATAATGCTTCACCTCTATTGTTAGGCAAGGCGCTTCACCCTAGGAGCCGTATTAAAATGCTAAAATATCAACATTTCTTATTTTCAACTGTAGGTAACACAGTACATGATAAGAGATTTTAAAAACATTTTTTCTGATTATGAAATAACAACTATTGACAGGCAGATGGGAATGGAAGTGTGTATATATATTTTTCTTTTTGAGACAGGGTCTCATTCTGTCACCCAGGCTGGAGTGCAGTGGCGTGATCTCGGGTCACAGCAACCTCCACCTCCTGGGTTCAAGCAATTCTGCCACCTCAACCTCCCCAGTAGCTGAGACTACAGGCATCCTCCACCACACCTGGCTAATTTTTGTATTTTTGGTAGAGATGGGGTTTTACCATGTTGGCCAGGTTGGTCTTGAACTCCTGACCTGAAGTGATCTTCTGGCCTTGGCCACCCAAAGTGCTGAGATTACAGGCAAGAGCCACCGCACCTGGCCAAGTGTGCACATTCTTGAAGCCCAAGTCCACCACTTCCCAACTGTGAGAAGGAGGATTAGCAGTGTTCAGCCTCTCTGTTTCCCCATCTGCAGCCTGGTGATAATGGTAATACCAATTGACAGGGTGGATGTAAGGATTACTGAGTTTATTCTGTAAAGCACTTGATGTCTAGCATAAGAACTGCCCAGTAAATGTTAGTATGTGCCCAACAAATAATGAAAACTTTATTTTTATTTTTTGAGATGGAATCTTGCTTTGTTGCCCAGGCTGAAGTTCAGTGGCATGGTCCTGGCTTACATTCAAGCAATTCTCCTGCCTCAGCCTCCTGAGTAGTTGGGATTACAGGTACCTGCCAGCATGCCTAGCTAATTTTTGTATTTTTAGTAGAGATGGGGGTTTCACCATGTTGGCCAGGCTGGTCTTGAACTCCTGACCTCAGGTGATCTGCCTGCCTTGACCTCCCAAAGTGCTTGGATTACAGGTGTGAGCCACTGCACTTGGCCTATTTTTAATTTTAATTTTTTTTTGAGATGCGCTTACTCTGTCACGCAGGCTGGAGTGCAGTCATGCGATCCAGCTTACTGCAATCTCTGCTTCCCAGGCGCCTCAGCCTCTTGAGTGGCTGGGACTACAGGTGTGCCACCACCCCTGGCTAATTTTTGTACTTTTGTAGAGATGGGGTCTCCCAATGTTGCCCAGGCTGGTCTGATACTCCTGGGCTCAAGCCATCTGCCAAAGTGCTGGGATGAGTGTGAGCCACTGTGCCCAGCCAGAAGACTTCTGGAGAAAATTTCTGAATTAGTCTGAACAACCGAAAAAGCAGCAGCAGGAGAAAATAATCAAAATTTGGCCATAGCTTTTAATCCTGTTTGCATTTGAAATTTGGCCTTAAGCAGCTTCAAAGCATGTTGAAGAACACAGAACTATACAAGGTATACAGGAGAACAAACATATTATTGGTGGAGGAGCACTTAGTTTTGAAAGGTAAACACTCGTCTTTTTCCTTTACTTTTTTTTTTTAGTCAGAGTCTCAGTCTGTTGCCTAGGCTGGAGTGCTGTGGCGCAAACACGATTCACTGTAACCTTGACTTCCTGGGCTCAAGCAACCCTCTCATCTCAGCCTCCTGAGTAGCTGGGACTACAGGTGCATGCCACCATGCCAGGCTGTTTTTTTTATTTTTAGTAGAGACAGGGGTTTCACCACGTTGTCCAGGTTGGTCTCGATCTCCTGGGCTCAAACGTCCCACTCTTGGCCTCCCAAAATGCTGAGATCACAGGTAAGAGCTACCAAGGCCAACCAGTTTCTTGGTTATCTTCAAATTGCATTCGTTTTAAAAACAAAAAGTTGAATCCAATTACCCCACCCAATTTTAAAACTATAAATTTTCCAACATCCACAAAAGTAGAGAACATTGTAACGAGCCTCACATACTCATAACCTAAATTCAACAACTACCGACATTTTATAATTATATACTTACATCTTCTACCAGCTTTTATCTTGTGTTTTTTCTCTCTCTCTAATATTTTATTATTATTTTTAGAGATGGGATTTCACTATGTTGGCAGCCTGGTCTCAAGCTCCTGACCTCAGGTGATCCATCTGCCTCGGCCTTCCAAAGTGCTGGGATTACAGGCATGAGCTACCGCACCCAGTCTTCTCTCTCTCATATTTTAAAGCAAATCCCTGATGGTATATGTCATTTCATCCCTAAATGCTTCTAAATGTATTTCTGTGACAGAAAGAGATTTTCTTTCTCTTTTTTCTTTTCATTTTTTTGACATGGAGTCTTGCTGTATCGCCCAGGCTGGAGTGTAGTGATGAAATCTTGGCTTACTGCAACCTCTGCCTCAGGTTCAAGCGATTCTCCTGTCTCAACCTCCCAAGAAGCTGGGGTTACAGGTACCCACTACCACGACTGGCTAATTTTTGTATTTTTGGTAGAGACGGCGTTTCACCATGTTGGCCAGGCTGGTTTCAATCTCCTGACCTTAAGTGATCCACCTGCCTCAGCCTCCCAAAGTGCTCAGACTGTAGACGTTAGCCATCTTTCCTAGCCAGATCCTTTTTTTCCATAGCTGAATTATGGTCTATTGTGTAGATCTATCACAGTTCGTCTCTCTGTTCATCTACTAATGGACATTTGGATTGTGGTTGTTTGGGTCACGTTTTTTGAAATTAGATAGTGTAAATCTTCTAATTTTGTTGATCCTTTAAAAACTGTTTCGGCTCTTGCATTTCTATTTATATTTTACAGTCAGTTTGTCAATTAAAAACCTCTGGGATTTTGATTGAATTTCTATATAGCGTTTTGGGGAGAAATGTATGTAAATAATATTGAGCCATCTGATATGTGAACAAAATATAACTCTTCATTTTTCTAGGTCTCCTAAAATTTACTTCAGCCATGACTTATAGTTTTCAGTGTACTGGTCTTGCACATAGTTTGTTAAAATTTCTCTAAATATTTCATGTTTGGTGATAATATTATAAATGGTTTTAAACATTTGATTTCTAGCTGTTCATTGCTAGTATATAAAAATACTTCAGGAGGCCGAGGTGGGGATTGCTTGGGCCCAGGAGTTTGAGATCAGCTCAAACTGGCAACACAGCTTCCTGGGCAACACAGGAAGACACTGTCTCTACAAACACTTAAAACACCATTAGGTGGGCCGGGCGCGGTGGCTCAAGCCTGTAATCCCAGCACTTTGGGAGGCCAAGACGGGTGGATCATGAGGTCAAGAGATCGAGACCATCCTGGTCAAAATGGTGAAACCCCGTCTCTACTAAAAATACAAAAAATTAGCTGGGCATGGTGGTGCGTGCCTGTAATCCCAGCTACTTGGGAGGCTGAGGCAGGAGAATTGCCCGAACCCAGGAGGCGGAGGTTGCAGTGAGCCGAGATCGGGCCATTGCACTCCAGCCTGGGTAACAGGAGCGAAACTCCATCTCAAAAAAAAAAAAAACCATTAGGTGGATGTGGTGGCATGTGCCTGTAGTCCCAGCTACTGGGGAGGCTGAGGTGGGAGGATCGCTGGAGCCTGGGAGATCGAGACTGCAGGAAGCAGTGATCATTCCACTACACTCCAGCCCGGATGACAGAGCGAGACTCTGTCTCAAGAAAAAAAAAGTTTTGTATATTGATATCAGATTGTAGAACCTTGTTAAACATTGAGTTCTAGTGCATTTTTGTTGATATCTTAGGATTTTCTGCATAGAAGAATATGTGTAGAAATAAAGGCAGTTCTATTTCTTTCAATTTGCATGCCTTTTTATTTCCCTTTTTTCGCCTTCTTGTACGGACTGTCAACCCAGTATAATGGTGAATAGAAGTGAATAGAGGGCAAACAGAATGGTGAAAAGAGGGCAAACATCCTTGTTTTGTTTTTGATTTCAGGGAGAAAGCATTCGATTTTCACCTTTAAACATGATATTAGTTGTAGTCTCATTTGTTCAATGGAGGTAATTTTTTACATTATTAGGGCATGAGACCACTTTTGGTCGTTATGACCTTTTATGATCTTGAGAAAAATTTAGAAGAAGATGGGGGGCTGGGTACGGTGGCTCATGCCTGTAATCCCAGCACTTTGGGAGGCTGAAGCAGGTGGATCACCTTAGGTCAGGAGTTTGAGACCAGTCTGGCCAACATGGTGAAAACCTGTCTCTACTAAAAATAAAAAATTAGCCGAGCATGGTGGCGCATGCTGGTAATCCCAGCTACTCGGGAGGCCGAGGCAGGAGAATTGCTTGAACCTGGGAGGTGGAGGGTGCAGTGAGCCAAGATCATACCATTGCCCTCCAGCCTGGGCAACAAAAGTGAAACTTCATCACACACACACACACCCTACCAAAAAAAGAAGACAGGGGATACTCTGACTGGTAGCCACTATTTCAGTCCAGATGTCCTCGGAAGCAGGCTCTGAGACAGATTTCCGTGCAAAGGTTTACTGGGGAGTGCTCTTGGAATTAACATTTGTGGGGTTGGCAGAGGGAGAATTTGAACTGCAACACAGTCTCAGTGAAGGCCTCTGCTGATTCCATGGGGAGTTAGTTCTGGAGCTGGGATGATCCTGCATAATTGTCTCAAATTAAAGCTGAAAATAGCTGCCTCACCCAATGGTGTTTATTCTCCAAGTTTCCTTTTTTGCAAGTCCCGAGTGTCTTGTGACACACTGGAGCTGGGCTTGTCTAAACAAGACTTGGTATTTGGTTTCATATCTCATGTCTAGGAGCAAGGATTGAATACTCAGAATTGCAAAGATTGTAGATAGCATTTGGTGACAAAGTAAAAGTCTTTTAAAGACTTTTTCACTAGGTGGCTTTCTTTAGTACATGACAAGGGAGAGAATATTATAAAATCTGTAATATTCCCAAGGCAGAGTGATGCAGAGCTGAACACTGCATTGCATTGAGGCAGCTAAGGCTCCAGACCCACAGGACAGAATGCGTGGCCTAGAATTCCCACCAAATTCCTACTGAATAGATCTACTGAATAGTAGATCTTAACATCTACTGCATAGGGCTAGTAGGAAGGTAAAATGAGTTAATTCTTCAAAAATGCTTACATGCTGCCTGGCACATAAGCCCCCAGTAAATGTCAACTATTATTGTTATCAATAGCCTTAGAATATTTTTCTTTGTAATTTGTATATAATGAAAACATATGGCATGTATTTATTTTTTAAGTAAAGTGAACTCAGGAGCAGATAAGGTCTTAGATAACTATAAAATGAACCTTGATGACTGGTGGTTAACCTTTGCTACTGGTGGTTAATTTCTCTTCAACAATTACAAATACTAGCAACTCAGTTTTTAAAAATAATGTTTTAGGCCCAGCACGGTGGCCCACACCTGTAATCCCAGCACTTTGGGAGGCCAAGGTAGGAGAATCATGAGGTCAGGAGTTCAAGACCAGCATGGCCAACATGGGGAAATCCCATCTTTACTAAAAATACAAAAAACAGCTGGGCATGGTGGTGTGTGTCTATAGTCTCAGCTACTCAGGAGGCTGAGGCAGGAGAATCGCTTGAATTAGGAGGTGGAGGTTGTAGTGAGCTGAGATCGTGTCATTGCACTCCAGTCTGGGCAACAGAGTGAGATTCCATCTCAAAAAAAAGTATTAAAATTTAATTAAAATTTTAAATTATGAAAATATTCAAACATACACAAAGAGAGAGGTTAACTGGAGGAACCACCATATATCCTTTACATAGAATCATTAATTGTCAGTGTTTTCCACATAAAACATCTATTCCTCTTTTAATTTTACTTTCAAAAAGAAACTCAAGTAATTATGCCATTTTGCCCTCATAAATTTTAGTATGCATCTCTAACAAATTTGGTATCATCTAGTAGCCAGTATACAATAAAATTTCTTTTATTGTCTAAGAAATATCTTATTTAAAAAGGCTTGTTTAAATTAGGAGGAAAACAAGGTTAATACATTTGTTTGTTGTCTCTTAATTGTGTTAAAAACTTGACTAATTCACCCACCCACCCTCTCTTTTGCCATAATTGTCATGTTGCAAAAACTGGGTCAATTGTTCTACAGAATATCCCACATTTTGGATTTGTTGGTTTGATTCCTTGTGCTGCCATTTAACTATTTTTATGTCTCTCATATTTTATTTTACAATTATTTATCTTTAAAGGATTTTTAAAAAAATGCTACTTTATTGAGATATGACTGACACATAAGAAGCTGCACATATTTAATGTACACATCTCGATGAGTTTGGGGAAAGTCTTTATACACTAGAGAAACCATCTCTGCCATCAAAATTTAAAGACTTTTCTAGTTAAAGTACATAATATGGTTGTGAAAATTTAAAAAAATTAAAGAACTACAATTGGTAATGTGGAAAAACATTAAGCAAATCAATTCTTAAGTTATTTAGCAATGAAATTGGTCGTTGTGTGATTCCTGATTGCAACTCTGTTTTCCTGGAGATTATTTAGAGATTCTTTGTACAGTGTCTCAATCCTGTAAGAATTTTAGCCACTGTTAGAAAGTGCTGGGGCAAGGCCACATAGTTATTATTTTAAGTTAATCAAATATGGGAGATTTGTTATGTATTACAGAGTGAAGAATGTAGCAATGGGTAAGGAGTAGATACAGAATGGGAAAAGTTGAAGCAGGAAGGACCAAACCCTGCCTTGGACAGCTAGAATCTATCAGATAGGACATGATTTAATAAGATTAGTTTGATGCCCAGCAGTGGCAGAAAAGACCCTTGTACTTAAATAACAAGAAGAATTTTGTCAAACCGTCTGTCTCTGGAGATTCTAAGCCTCCCATTCTCTCCCACTCTAGGAGTGGGCTATGGGTAGGATGCATACTATGATTTCTCTTAGTGTCTGCCTGTAGGGGGCGCACGGCAACATATTAAAGCTTAGGTACATGACATTTGAGGCCGGGCATGGAAAAATACTGAAGCACTGTGTGTATGTTATTTCTGCATGAGAATAAAACTCCTTGACACTGAAAACAGGACAGGGAGTGGAGTGTGTGGTGTGATAAGGAACGCTGAAGACAGCCTCTTGAGAATGCAGCTTGAATGTTGTGCAAGGTCACAGTGCCTCAGTAACCCACCTCAGATGACCATCTAGTGGATGTCTGTAGTTAATACAAACCCTTCAATAAATACCTGGTGGACAGATGCTGGGGTGAACTCTCTAGGAAGAGCTACTCCCTATCCCCCCGCACTCAGCTGGAACTGTCTGAGTACTTCATTCTTGGCATTCACTGCAAGTTATAAGCTCTGCATCTGTCAACTGAAAATTAAAAAAAAAATCAGATAATTCTATTGTGCATGAGGTTCTTTGGTCAAGTTGAAGCATTACACAAATCCTGTCATAACACGTTTCAATTTATAAATTAATTACATATGCATATATAAAAATTTTATTTTTTATTTTTAAAATTTATTTTTCTGTATTTTGTTTCATTTTTCATTCTTAATTTTGGCTTTTCTTTCAGTTGACTTTAATATAATCTTTGAATTTTTTTTCTAAAAGCAATGTGAAGGATACGTTTTCTCCCCCTTGGACATCTGAGAATACCTTTCTGTTGCCTTTACACATGAAAAACTTTTTGAGTCGATTTAGAAATATTTGATTATAACATTTCTGCTCAAAATTTAACAGATAGTACTACACCATCTTCTGGGACTTACTGCTACAAGAACTTTGAACACCTGTAAATTTTATTCCTTTGTAAGTGACTTGTTTCTTCTCCTAGGATTTAGGCAGAAGCACTTTGGTTTGTTTCTTTTTTGTATTTTAAATTGTTTTCTGAGATACATTTAGACATGTGATCTAGATACTCCCTGTGTGCCCCGCCCCCCCTTCCCCTCCACCCCGGGCTGTGGGATTTTTTAATAGAATGAATCAATGGGTTCTCAGGGCTTTGAGCTTCTGGTTCATTGAGCCAGTAGAAGGCACTGGCAGAAGATCAAGGACAGAAAACAGAGTGATATCAGGCCTTCTACAGCTCTCTCTTTGGGTGCTGATACCTTGTCCTCCTCTTGCCTCTTCAGGCCTATAAGTGATAGTGCTTTAAAGTTTTGGCTGATTCTGTCTGGATCTCCTTTTATTGATAATTCCAGGAACTTGGTAAGTACTATTAACCTTCAATTTATATGATTTCTGTTGACCTATCTTCAAGGTCACTGATTATTTCTTTTGTTGCATCCAACCTACTCTTAAGCTCTTCAGTGTTTTTCACCTTGTTTTTGCAATTTCATATATTGTATTTTTCAGTTCTAGGATTTCCATTTGGTTCTTTGTTTTAGACTTTCCATTTCTTTACTAACAATTTAATTTGTTTATCTGTTATGACTATATTGTCCTTTAAGACTATGAAGATTTTTTAAAAACATATTTTAAATTAATTTTTTCAAGGCAGAGTCCCACTCTGTCACCCAGGCTGGAGTGCAGTGGTGCCATCTCGGCTCACTGTAACCTCTACCCCGCCAGGTTCAAGTGATTCTCCTGCCTTAGCTTCCCAAGTAGCTGGGATTATAGACATGCACAACTATGCCTGGCTAATTTTTGTATTTTTAGTAGAGACAGGGTTTCACCATGTTGGTCAGGTTGGTCTTGAACTCCTGACCTCAAGTGATCTTCCCCCCTTGGCCTCCCAACGTGCTGCAATTACAGGTGTGAGCCATTGCTCCTGGCCTGAAGAAATTTAAAACAGACATTTTAAAGTTCTTGTCTGAATAATTCCAACTTCTGGGTTATTTTGAGGTTGGTTTCTATTGACTTATTTTTCCTTTACATGGGTCTCATTTTCCTTTGTCATCACTTATTTAGTAATTTTAAAATTGTATACTGGACATTGTGGGAGATGTGCTGAAGAACATCATCAAGAAAACATCAAATATGTTTTCTGCTTTGAGGAATGTTAAGCATTGTTCTTGATGGTAGTTAAATTACTTTATATCACCTTAGTTTTGTTGGAGGCATAATTTTATGCCTTGTTATCACAGGTCTACTATGGTTTTATCTTTACTCCTAAATTGAGTATCTTAGTTCTAGAAGGTGGTCTTTGCTTCTAAATTGTGGTCTTTCTAAATTATAGATGACTCAAACAAGTGGAAACACATCAAATCCTCATTGGTGGGTAAAATCAATGTGAAAATGACCATACTGCCAAAAGCAATCTACAAATTCAATGCAATTCCCATCAAAATACCACAATTCTTCTCAGAACTAGAAAAAAAAATCCTAAAATTCATATGGAACCAAAAAAGAGCCTGTATAGCCAAAACAAGACTAAGAAAAAAGAACAAATCTGGAGGCATCACATTATTGGAATTCAAACTATACTACAAGGCCATAATCACCAAAACAGCATGGTATTGGCATAAAAATAGGCACACAGACCAATGGAACAGAATAGAGAACCCATAAATAAATCCAAATACTTACAGCCAACTGATCATTGACTAAGCAAACAAAAACATAAAGTGGGTAAAGGACATCCTATTCAACAAATGATGCTGGGATAATTGGCAAGTCACATGTAGGGAAATAAAATTGGATCCTCATCTCTCACCTCATACAAAAATCAACTCAAGATGGATCAAGGACTTATACCTAATACCAATGTTATTCTAGAAGATAACATTGGAAAAACCCTACTAGATGTTGGTTTAGGCAAGAATTTCATGACCAAGAACCCAAACGCAAATGCAACACAAACAAAGATAAATAGCTGGGACTTACTTAAACTAAGGAGCTTTCGCATAGCAAAAGGAATGGTCAGCAGAGTAAACAGACAACCCACAGAGTGAGAGAAAATCTTTACAGTCTATGCATCTGACAAAGGACTAATATGGAGAACCTACAAGGAACTCAAACGAATTATCAAGAAAAAAAACCAATTTCATTGAAAAGTGGACTAAGGGCATGAATAGACAATTCTTAAGAGAAAATATACAAGTGGCCACAAACATATGAGAAGATCCTCAACATCGCTAATGATCAGGAAATGCAAATCAAAACCACAATATGATACTACCTTACTCCCTCAAGAATGGCCATTTTAAAAAAAAAGTAGATATTGACATCGATGTGGTGAAAAGGGAAGATTTCTACACTGCTGGTGGGAATGTAAACTAGTACAACCACTATGGAAAGCAATGTGGAAATTCCTTAAAGAACTAAATGTAGAACTACCATTTGATCTAGCAATCCCATGACTGAATATTTACCCAGAGGAAAATCAGTCATTATACAAAAAAGATATTTGCACAAGGATGTTTATAGCAGCACAATTCACAATTGCAAAAATGTGAAACCATCCCAAATGCCCATCAGTCAAGGAGTGGATAAAGAAACTGGAAGTGTGGTATACATATACACAATGGCATATTAGCCATAAAAAGGAACGAATTAATGTTATTCACAGCAACCTGTATGGGATTGGAGACTATCATTCTAAGTGAAGTAACTCAGGAACGGAAAACCAAACATCATGTGTTCTCACTCCATATGTTTCACTCCAAGTCCCCAAAGTTCACTGTATCATTCTTATGCCTTTTTGATGCACATGTAGGGGAATAAAACTGGATCCTCATCTCTCACCTTATACAAAAATCAACTCAAGATGGATCAAGGACTTAAATCTAAGACGTGAAACTAAAAATTCTGTAAGATAACTTTGGAAAAAACCTGTGTAGATACTGGCTTAGGCAAAGATTTCATGACCAAGAATCCAAAACCAAATGCAACACAGACAAATAAAACATTCCTGTGTTTTTGCATCATTCAAAGGCATAAGAATGAGTCAATAAACTTTGGGGACTCGGAGGGAAAGGGTGGGAAGGAGGTGAGGGATAAAGACTACAAATTGTGCTCAGTGTATACTGCTTGGGTGATGGGTGCACCAAAATCTCGCAAATCACCACTAAAGAACTTACCCATGTAACCAAATACCACCTGTTCCCCAAAAACCTATGGAAATTAACAAACAAACAAACAAAACCAACTGGGCATGGTGGCTCATGCCTGTAATCCTAGCACTTTGGGAGGCCGAGGTGGGTGGATCACTTGCGGTCAGGAGTTTGAGACCAGGCTGGTCAACTTGGTGAAGCCCTGTCTCTACTAAAAATACAAAAAATTAGCCTAGCATGGTGCCACGTGCCTGTGGTCCCAGCTTCTCGCAAGGCTGAGGTATGAGAATGTCTTGAATTTGGGAGGTGGAGGTTGCCATGAGCTGAGATCGAATCAATGCACTCCAGCCTGGGTGACAGAGTGAGACCCTGTCTACAAACAGCAACAATAACAAAACAAAACAAACAAAAAAAACAAGCAAATGGACATTTGGGAGAATAATTTAGACAAAAAAGGAAAGAGTGTTCTTTCTGGGATTTTAATGGAAGGTCTCTATTTTTTGCCAAGTTTCTTTAACTTGAGTGACTTGATCTCTTAACTCTGTCTTCCCTGTAGGGGGCATGTGCTGAAATCTCAGGTCAGTTCTTTTTTTCTTCCAGCTGTTTTGCCTCTTGGGCTTTTTGTAGTTTTGATCTGCACACATGCAGTTCAGGGGTCGGCCAACAATACAAGGGGAGATTATACGGGGATGTTAAGTTACTCCCCTCCCTGACTTCCTCCATTCTATAGAATTCTGTGAATCCTTCATTCAATAACCGGTTGCTTGGCAAGTCTCTTCTGACTCCACAGACCAATACAACTACAGGCTCTCTGCTTGGCCCTATCTGCCATGCCAGACAAACTAGGGCATGTCCTGAGGGCAAGAGCCAAGTATGTGTTTGTTGGCCTCACTTGGTGTGATTCACTTTTTTTTCAATGACAAGTCCCCTTGTGTTTCTGCCTGCTATTGGTCACTCTCCAGAGTCTTTAAACAGCTGTATTTTGTATTTTGTTTAGAGTTTATAATTGTGATCATCAGGAGGAATGGTCTGATATAAGTGGCTTTACTATTACCAAGCCATTACTATCATTACTATTATTTTTTGAGGTGGAGTCTCACTCTGCCTCCAGGCTGGAGTGCAGTGGCATGATCTTGGCTCACTGCAACCTCTGCCCCCAGGTTCAAGATTCTCCTGTCTCAGCCTCCAGAGTAGCTGGGATTATAGGTATGTGCCAGCATGCCCAGCTCAATTTTTGTATTTTTAGCAGAGATGGGGTATAGCCATGTTGAATTGTAATTCCCAGTGTTGGAGATGGTGCTGAGTGGGAGGTGACTGGATTATGGGAGCAGATATCCCTGTAAGATAGCAGTGCGAGAATGGACTAATACATAT